AGGAAAAAGCGAAATTCTCTGATGGAACACAACATGCATCAACCAAATCACTCTTGATGGAGATGCCCTGGAGGACGTTAACACCTTCACATATCTGGGCAGCATCATCGACAATCAAGGTAGATCCGATGCAGATGTGAGGGCGCGGATTGGCAAAGCGAGGGCTGCATTTCTACAGTTGAAAAATATCTGGAACTCCAAAAACTGTCAACCAAAACCAAAATCAGGATTTTCAATACAAATGTCAAGACAGTTCTACTGTATGGAGCGGAAACATGGAGAACTACCAAAGCCATCATCCAAAAGATACAAGTATTTATTAACAGTTGTCTACGCAAAATACATCTTATGCGTTGGCCAGACATCATCAGCAACAACTTACTTTGGGAGAGAACAAACCAGATTCCAGTGGAGGAGGAAATCAGGAAGAAGCGATGGAAGTGGATAGGACACACACTACGAAAAACACCTAACTGCGTCACAAGACGAGCCCTCATTTGGAACCCTCAAGGCAAAAGGAAAGGAGGAAGGCCAAAGAATACATTACGCCGAGAAACAGAGAGAGATATGAGAGGAATGAACAAACATTGGACAAAACTGGAGAGGGAAGCCCAGGATAGAGTTGGTTGGAGGAAACTGGTGGGTGGCCTATGCTCCATTGGGGGTAACAGGCGTAAGTAAGTAAGTAAGTGATGTATCAATGTATGCTGCGTCTCCGAAACGCACATACAGCATCCAAGTACAGTGATTTGTTTGATCTCACTATGTTTGATATAAAGGACCGTCTCGATTCAGATTTCCTGTACTTAGGAGCGCTGCTGCTGCTGCTGGTGCAGGTATGGCATCGAGTCCGGGGGCAGACTGGATCGCTTGTGCACTGTCCGAATAAATGGGAAAGTAAGGGACTTGGAAATATAGGAACACTAGCCGTTGCCTCTTCGCCGTTTCTGCTTACGATTACAGATCGTAGATATTATTCAATAAATATAATCCAGTGAATTTAAATTCAAAATGATCAAAGTTAGACACTAACACGGTTGGATACTAGCTTAGTTGTTTACGCAAAAATACTTTAGATCCGTTGGCCAGAAACCATCAGCAACAATCTACTCTGAGAAAGAACAAACTAGATTCCAGCGGATGAGGAAATCAGGAAGAAGCGGTGGGAGTGGATAAAGCGCACACTGCAGAAAGCACCCAGCTGCGTAACAAGACAAGTCCTCACTCGGAACCACCAACGTAAAAAGAAAAGAGGAAGACCAAGAAACACATTACATCGAGAAATAGAGAAAGATATGAGAAGAACGAACAAGAATTGGACAGAATGAGAAAAAGAAGCCCAGGATAGAGTAGGTAACAGTTAGTAAATCAGTAACAACATAGAACTTGGTACGTACTTGAACATGAGTTCAAGTTGCCATATCACATATAAACAGAGAGACGGAACTATCAGTTCATGTCACAGCCGTAGAAGTGGTAGTAGTGCTAGCGGTAATCAAAAATATTACGGATTAAAGATATAATCGGAGAAATATAATCCAGTGAAATAAGTTTAAAAAGAGAAAAGAGTGGTCATGAGAAATTCGGGAGATTAGAATTCGAGAGAACACAAAGAATGGATGCATCTGCATAACGATTTTGAGTCGTGTCTTTAATCAACGAGGTTACGATTGTGTTCCAGACCCCCGAATGGTGTAACATGTTTATTCTCTTGTAATAGTGAAAAAAGCAACTTGCAACTACAGTCTTCATAGAGCATATCTATTCTAAAGAGAATAGAATCTTCTAGACAGTTGTCACGCACATAAACTCCATTACTTAATAGTAACTGATTCAAATATAAAAAAAATTGGAATAATAAATCAACTGTTTTAATAACAACACAAAATAAATTAAAATAACTAACTCACTGTTTCAAATGTTCAATTAAGTGTTCTTTGTTCAATTGTTTAATTTTTGTTTCAATTATATTTTGTTTAAATAAATGATCAATATTAACATGATTTATAGGGAAATTATTTACTGCAGTAAATGAAAGACAATAATTTAGCATATCGGATGAACAAAACTCTTGAATACTTTCAATAGTTGGCAATTCTCGCAATTCATTACAGCTTAATTCATTGGCTAACCAATTACCAATAATTAAATCATTATTTTCCCAAATTTCATAAGGATCCGGTATTGTCAACGATTCATCAAGCGATGTTACAGTTTGTTTATCAACTACTGTGTTATGATGATTAGCGGTTGTTGATGTTGTTGATGTAGGTGAACATTGGTTTACTATTGCACACACACCATTGTTTGTTTGAAGATTTGTGTGATTATTATGATTATTATTGCTATTTAATGCTTCAATAAACCATTTCTTTAAAAGTGACATTTTTTGAGCAGTGTGATCTGTGTAACTGATAGCTAAAAAAAGAAATACAAAACAAGAAAAACAAATTGTGATTGCATCATTAATCAGTGAAAACTAGAGTGAAGTCGATGAGAGTTTTAGCATAGTTTGGAATAAATATACAACACTGCACAACAACTATGACCTAGGCAGGAAAGGAATTTAAAAAAAACATTTAATTCTTGTGGATAACAACTCCACCTGGAGTTTGTCTAGGGTTACTGTTGGTCTGAAACTCGGATGAAGGAGTAGGGTTGAGCATGGGGTTAGCGACCCTATTCCGTAGAAAACGACCTCCATAAAAAACGCTAACTAGGAAAAAAATTCTGGCGGATTGCACGAGATATGAAAACTGATGGTCAGCTGGGGAGTCCCCCACGTGGGACAAAATGAGCACCCTGGATTCCACTGCTAGCCAAATTCTATCAATTCTATAGTAGTAACCTGTATAATAGTGGCTACATTTAAATCATGAATGGACGATTTTTAGATAACCATTTGAAACCTAAAAGCACTGGAAGACCATTTCCTCTTGGTATGGTACTAACTTATCAGAAAGGCGCATCTACAACTTCTGATACTCGCCGGATTTAAAACCAGGATATTCGGTCTTGCGTGTGAACTCTTAACCTCTGGATCACTGAGCTGGTATCCAACGGTGTTATTGTCTAGCTCTGATCAATCTAAGGATTTCACGCAACCACACTCACTTGTTTTCGGTAGTTACTGCCTACACCTGAAAGGGTTGAACTCCACTGACCATGTCATCTCACTAGAACTCCGAGAATCTCAAGATTCATTCACGATCTCAATGTGAAACAAAGATCTCCACAATGTCATATCTCGAAGCAACCCATATAAGATGCCCAAATATGCCAAGACAGATCGATTTTCAGACAAACATATCAACAACCGAATAATCTAATCCATTTCAAATTAAATTATTATTTAAAGTGTTACTGTCATAAATCGTCTACACAAATAGAGTCCGACTTTTAATCCAACGTACGGAACGACAAATTGAGAAACCAACAACCAATTGTTGAGAAGAAAAACAAAACTTCACATATAAAACTAACACGTCTATTATCTTTTCATCTCTTGGATATCTTCAGCTCCGATGAGCGACGATCGTTTGATATAATGATGATCGATTTCATCGTCGCAATATTGGGAAAAAATTTTCGTAATTATTAAAGAAAATATTAAATACTCCCAAGGAGTTGGCCTCTTCAATATGCATTTACAAATTCAGCTGTACCTGTGGAGGTAGCTATATCGGACTTACTACCAGACAACGTAACCAACGAATCAGTGAATATCTCGCAACACGATTTAGAAAGTGCCAGAGAAAAACATTACGCAGTTCTGTCTTGGCACATCTGATTGATAGTGGTTGTAAGATAGATAAATCCGAACCATTTCAAGTGATCTATAGTATACCTCCATCATTTCCCAACGGGGTTCGATCTCATCTCCTACATATAGCAGAAGCCATAGGAATTCGAACATTAAGCCTCAATTTGTGTGTTCAGAAGAAATTCGTAACACCCCTGTCTCTTCCTACGTCTGATCTAACTTTATAAACAAATTCAAAATTTTTTTTGTTATCATTAGCAGTATTTTCACATCCTGTGCTTGTCTGTAATTTTCCGCCTCTTTCCGTTTTTATTCTATCACTATCTAATTATTTACACACTTCTGATTACGTCATTCTTTTAAGTCTGTTTATCCACGTTTGACCTACCATTTACAATGTTGAACTACTGATAAAAACATTTGTTATTCTTACTACTATCAGTACACCTGTCTTCCTACAATCGACTTGTAGTTACATAATCTCAATCTGATTACTGTGATTATTGACTCGTAAATTGCCTTGATTGGTTTAACATTTTCATTTGGTATAAAACCTGATAACGATCTAATTGGTAAAAAAAAAGTCAATATTATGGCATACACGTCAAAATTAAAAAAAAACACAGAGATTTATTCATTTTAACTCGTGAAGACAAATCAGATCAATTGAATGACAAAAAACAAGACAATGTGATCTTACCTAAATTGGGTACTTTTTTCGCAATCACACTAGCTAATTCTTCTTTTTTACAAGCAGTCGGTTTCACAGTGGTTGTTGGCAGTGAATACCTTCCGTCGGGATTGTTCGTTAGATCATTAGGTGTTGTAATAGTCTGCGTTAAACTTTCCGAATCAAAACGTATTCTATGATTACTTTCAATACATAGAAGTTCTGAGAAGAGATTAACAAAAAAAAAGTGAGAAATGAAAAATCAGTTCAACCATGATGGAAAAAACATGCGTAAAAAATTGACAATATTAACATTTTACGATTTCATCATATTTGCAACAGAGTTACACAATAATGCATAATAATGTATGCCTGTCGCTTCGGTAACTTCAACACTTATGATACGTTGGAGGCGATCAAACGAACAACATGTCTTCATTAGTTCATGGAAACACACTGACTGTTGAACTGAGCCATGCAGAGGTAAATGAAAACTACCTAGTTTTAGTGTTGATCATTCACAATGGCTCAGATAGATTCACTATTTGGCTTCACTTAAATCCTTGGTTTTTAAAACTTTACAGAGGCTTTGTTTTTACTTTAATAGTTCATATTCTCTTCTCAGATTGTATCTTCAATACCCGACCGTAGCTGCTACCTTGACGTGGTGGTCGGGCTTGCCTATCGTGATCACCCAACCGAGCTATACTGGCTGGAACATATGTTCCTGCAGGTCCTACCATGCCAGGCAGGTCGATTGGAGAACGATGAGACTAAAAGCAGCTACCCAAGGTCTGAGGGCGAAGTCGTACTGCTGACTGCAGAGGGGTGTGACAGCAGTAAGGTGTTTCCCTCGGACAACCAGCATCTGCAGCGATGCTGCCTTCTCACAATGAAGGAAGGGTTAGAAAAGGTCGGCCCTAAAAATGTCACACCTCCCCTACCTCACGGATTTCCGCTCCTTGGGTAAGGGCGCCCACTAAGGGCCTTTAAGAACGGAGCTAATACTCAAAATACCTTTCGAAAAAAGGCCGTGCGTGACCGGCTTCAACCAGCTGTCCCTTGGACTCTGCGGTCATGCTCCCAGTTCGTTAAGACCAACACTAATCTTCCTTCCTTTTCAGGTTCCTCAAGAAACAACCTTCCGCGGTGTGGGCAGCCGGGAAGTGACAACCGCCCTCATACCCGTAACAGCATCTGACTTACTGACTACCACAATAATACCTGTTACTAATTCTATTAAATTGAAAATCGGTCATGATTACGCTATGCAAATGAAGTATGATGACCTATGTCAGATTCTTATGTTGCACATGACTAACTGGATCTTTTGAACAATACAAATTTAAGTCTTTACAACAAAAAGGGTGCACTGAATCAAAATGAATTGAGAGTATGAATACAATGATATTTGACCCAGAAAGTTAACGCATTCTGTTATGAAGATAGCTGCTGATGAGTTTATCTCATTTACAATGAATAAACAAACATATATAACTTACTTATTGATGATTGTTTCGATTTGATCGCATCGTCTGCTTCATCACTTGCTTTCAATGAAATCTCTTTACTTTTTTTATTAGATGTTTCACAATTAAAATTTAAACATGATACATTATTATGCGTAGTCATTATATATTTTCTATCAATTGGACAATGAATATCTTCTGTACTAGTAGTAGTTGACAGTAGACCAGTAATACGATTCAATGCTGACAATTCTAGCAGGCGACGTCTAAGACGTAGATAAAAAAAGCTACGACTAGATGACCAATCAACTAATCGATGAACAAGTTTTCTAGCTAATAAACGACCAGGTGTATCATGTAAATCAGCAAATGTACAAGCCACCTTTATATGTTGGTTGATATTGATATTTTAGAATTAATAATCATGAGGAAGAAAAATCACCGAAAAAAAGAGAACAAAACAAAATAAAACAATAAAAAATAACTTGATTTACTTTGTAGAGAAAAGAAAACACAAAGAGAAAAGAAATGATTATTTGTACCGATGTTTCTCTCTCTTTCTCGTTTTATTATTATTATTAATATTATTTATGTTCATATTTCGAAAATAATTAATTTTAAACTTACATAACCTATAATTTTATTGAAGCTAAGTTCAATTAAAAAGTAAAAAAATTATCAATTTATCATGAATGTGCATCATTCTTGTCACTGTACAACACAATACAATTCAATAGAGAGATAAGATGAGGTGAGATTGTTGTTTGAACAACGCAAACCTAAATGAATGTAATTCTGTTTATTATTGAATTATTATCTATCAAAATGAATTAACAATTAACAGATTGAATGATAATCTGGATAATTCTGTAGAATGAAAAAAAATTGTAAAATGTACTCATTATTAGTGACTAGCCTTGTGAGGGAATTTTTTTCGTAGTTAATTCTAGTAAGAAGCTGTGACCGATGGAGCTTTACTCTTGAGATGGTGGAGAAAACTTGTAGCTCAGGTGGATGATTGTGGTGGTGTTTCGTTCTCTGAGCTGGTTGTTTTGGTTGTGGAGCTTTCATTGTTCTTTTGAACAACATCATCAGCACAAACTTCAGAGCTTTACTCTGTTAAGTGTGAGACAATTATCCACCGAAGACAAATGGATGAGGTTGTGCGAAAATCTTTAGATTGATCAAAGTTAAACATTAACATTATTGGATACAGGCCAAGACGTTAAGTGTTCTCAGGCGAGACCGAAGGTCCTGGGGTCGAATCTTGAAAGTATCAGGGGTCCACAGATGCGCACTGTTGAAGAGTCCTATACTATAGGACAAGACGGCTGTCTAGTGCTTCTAGGTTTCTAATGACGGCCTAACAATGATTGATTCATGATTTTAATAACAGATTTAATTTCACATCATCATGATTTATTGGTTATAGTTCTGAAGATTATATGTATTTTATGTAATTACAAACGGAAACAAAATAAAATTCAGAGATTTACCATCTATAAATAAATGATATCTATATTCGGTGTTTTTTAGTAACTGCAATTATTTACAGGTTTTATTAGTTACACATTAATCTCAGTTAGGATTATCATTTGACAATCAGAGAGCATTAGACAGACAGATCTTTGCAACTCTTTAGTATTGAGAACCAACAACATTATTATGGACAGGACCTAAGGACTTTCATGTCTTACAGGGACTGTTTACTCATTAGAACCAACGAGTTGGTATTTTGTGGTGAAGTTTCGTTTTCTGAGCTGAATGTTGTGGTAATGTAGATTTCATTGTTCTTCTGAACAACATCATCAGCACAAAACCAAATATCATCTGCAAAATAAACCATTTAGACTGTGAAACTCAATACATACGATTAAGTGGCAGTCCTCTACTGCTTCATCTATGTGTACATCAATTAGCAGTCAAAGTACATGATATTTTTTCCTTAAAATCAATACATACGGACAACTGTTAACATGCATTCGTTAGGAACAATCTTAAAACACTGGATAGTCGAAGTACCAAGAACACTAGAGAATTTTTTGCAGCTTGACAATCAAGTCAATGTGCCATCAACATCGACAGTGACCCAATTTATCAACCAATCAGAAAAATCATAAATAAACATCGGGTCAAGAAACAGACCAAAAGAGTTTATAATGAAAATAAGGAGGCGGACAATGACAGATTAAAGGTCAATAACAACCAATCAAGATCAAGGTCAACAGAACAAGCTATGAGTCATACGTCAAGAAATTCGACTACTTCACTCCTTTACCTGAAGTTTGTGCTGCTGATGATGTTGTCCAGATGAACAATCAAAGCTCCACAACCAGAACATCCAGCTTAGAGAACTAAACCCTAACACAAACATACTATCCAGCTTAGAGTGGTTAGTTCATAGTTTTTTTGAGTAATATATCACATTCATACTACATAAATATATGTTATACGTAAACAAAATCTCATTTTTTTTTCAAACAAAAACCAAACTCACTTGTTGATAAAACGGCAATAATTCTTTTTGTCTTGATTCTAATGCTGTACGAAGTTGTTGACAACGTTCTTCTATTGAAATATTATTTAATAATTTTTTATTGTTATACTCTTGTACATTGTTCAATGTTGTTAAACTGTTTGAATGCTCGGTTAAATTATTTAATTCACTGATTAATAATTTACATGAATTATCTAATCGATTCATTGTGTTGATTAAATCTTTTTCTCGATATTTAATTTCCACTGTACCTTCAGGTTCTAGTACACCAGCTCGTGATGAGATCGGGTCAGCGTACATTTCCATAAAATCTGGATTAATCGCTGGATCTACCACTACCCATGCACCACCACGTAGTTGAGAATTTGGTGGAAGATAAACAAACACCGGTTTTGTGTAACGACGCAATGAATCAATAATCATTGAACCAAATTTCAATACCTTGAAAAAAAAGTAATTTTTTAACAATCAATGAAATTGATCTGAATGATTTAAAATTTAATTTCAAATAAACTATAAAGAAATATTGCATATTTTGATTGATAAGATCACGCAAGGATCAATGTTAAACAACCATTAGAAACTTAAACTCATTAGCAGTGCGCATCCACGATAAGCTCCAAGCGGGATTCAAACCCGGAGTCTTCGGTTTCGCGTATGAACGCTTAACCTGTAGACCAATGAGCCGGCATTCAAAGAAGTTAATGTCAAACTTAAGTCAATCTATGATGATCTTAATCAACTTTTTCTTCCAACAGACTACTGTCTCCTATACGATGCCAATTAAAATCCATTGATCATGTGTACATTCAGGTGTACTTGGTTATAAGGTGAATGATTTATGTGAAGATGTGTAAAGATAATCGATTGTTTAAATTACTAGAAAGTTTATTTCGATAAATAGAACTCTCAACCTTATTGTACCGTATAAACAAGTGATACAAATAAGAATAGTCCAGTGTGATTATTTGTAAGTACATTGAGTTTGGAAGATCGTTTATTGTAAATCATTGACTGCCAATAATTAGATAACCTAAGAATTTTCCTGGACAACTGTTTCGTTCTAGTATAGGACTTTCCAGTAGTGTCATGTATGTGAACTGCTGGACAGCAGCAGCACAGTAGCAGAACGAAACATATATCTAATGCTTTCCAGTTTTCAATGATTATCTAACTAAAATCAGTGTTTATAAAATTAAAAAAACTGTGAAATTATAATTCAAAAACAATTCTAATTTAACAACAGCCAGTAAACATAAAAGAGAAATAATTATAAAAAAACTTAAATATAAATCTTGATTTTGTAAAGAACACAAATAAAGTCACAATGAAATGATTGACTTAAACATTTTTTTTTTTAAAACTAGATACAATCTGACTCCTAGGCATTAAGAATCATGTGTAACTTTGTGTGTATAATCAGTTAACTTGAATCGCTTCGTTAATATAGTGGTGTAAGGGACAGAGAAGTCAAGAAAAACGCTAAACAAATAATCATCAATCTCTAATTTATCAGTAGATTCAATCAAGAATAAAAGAGAATTGAAAATTATGAATTATTCATTTTGAAAGAAATGTGTTCAGAGCAAAATTACTCCCCCTCTCTGAGGCTACTGCCGGTTCCAAAGCACTGATGAAGGAGGGTTAAGCATGGGGTTAGCAACTCGATCTCGTGGAAAAACTAACTCGCTAAAAAAATAAATACTAATCAAAAAAGCTTGAAAAATGTACTTGGATAAAACTGTACAACAAATTATTGAGAATGAGTATATAACACTGAATACGATTGAAACGAAAAATTCGATTATTACTTTATCTGAATTATTCAAATGTACGTTTGTACGCAAATTCTAATGGTTATTTAGTATGATTGTAAGTCATTCCGTCAACTACAACAAAGATGGCGCCAATGCATCCATTCGTTGAGCTCTCTTAAATCCTAATCTTCTGGATTCGTCAGCACCTGTACCTTTGTCTTTCTAACCTTATCTCACTGAATTATACTTCTTGAATAATATCTTCAAACCCTAGTCTTATTCATTACCATTAATACCTCTACTATCTCTATCACTATGGGATTTGATGTGACATTTGCGTCTCTGTGCTAATGCAGTATGGCAACCTGAACTGATGTAAGAAGTTCTACGTTGCAACTGACTGACTACAACATAGAACGCTGTACATAAGTACAACACATTAGCCCAGAGATCGAATTGTCTATTCAAATACAATGGTAGTAGAGGTAGTAGAATTATTAACGGTAATCGAGAAGATAAGTGTTCGACGATATTACTCATGAAGTAGAAATCTAGTGAAATAAACTTAAAAAGAGAAAGATAAAGGTGATGAGGAATTTAGGAAATTAGACGTTTGGAGAAGACAAACAATAGTCGCATCTGCACCATGTCATTCAAAGTCTACAACCATTTGTTATTCTTGTCTCGCGGACCTCAACCAGGTAGTCTATACATATTACCATGGCTTAGTCTAGTTGTCAGTGACTTTATGGATTTGTGACATGTTTTGAATTGGCCACCCCTAGTTTTCTGTATATCACTGAGAATGAATATTATGACACTCAAGAATTTAAACACTAAACTAAGTCAATAATTTATTAAAGATTAAATTTCCTAGAAATAAATATCAAGAATCGATCGGCTAGTTTGAAACACTGCTTAGTCGGACAGCGCACAAGTGACTATCTAATTGGATCCAGTCTACGAGAGTTAGTTTTGCCCTAGGATACAATGTTATACCTAAACCAATGAGCCTTCCAGATACACGGAGCGTAGACCTAGTTGGTTGTTTATTTGCACAATGTAAAGTCAAATTAATCACTGTACTCGGATCCAGTATGCACGTTTCTGAGGCGCAGCATACATTGATGGCACGGTATTCCAGAGTCCTAGCTAAGAAAGCCTATTGTCCTATTTGACAGAAGGTTCGAACATTAAAAGCTCCAATCTGTATTTCAGAACCGGGTTTCAAGAGACCAGGAATAACTTTTCAGGAACTCGAACCGTTTGCATTAGGGGTGCAGCGTGATAAAGGAATGTGAGTAGAGTTAGTCGTGGAGATAAGAGAGGTACTAGGGGGTGTAGGAAGGATTTGATTTTAACCAATTTGGTCTTGCGTGCTGTTACGAGTGTGAGAGTGGAATATCACTTCCCAGCTGCCAACACCGTGGAAGGGTGTTTCTTGAGGGACCTGAAAAGGAAGGTAGATTAGTCTTGGTCTTAACGACCTAGGAGCATGACCGCAGAGTCCAGTCACGCACAGCCTTTTTATGAGAAGTTTTTGAAGTGTTAGCTCCGTTCATTTTAAAAGTCCCTAAAACCGGAGACGGAAATCCGTGAGGTAAGGTGAGTTGTGACATTTTTAGGGCCGACCTTTTCTAACTCTTCCTTTCTTATGAGAAGGCAGCATCTCTGCAGATGATGCTGGGTGTCCGAGGGAAACACCTTACTGCTGTCAAACTTCTCCACAGTCAGCAATACGACTTCGCCCCCAAACCTTGAGTAGCTGTTTTTTTAGTCTCATCGTTCTCCAATAGACCTGCCTGGCATGGTAGAACCTACAGGAACATATGTTCCAGCCAATATAGCTCGGTCGGGGGTCATCACGATAAGCAAACCCAACCATCACATCAAGGTAGCAGTAGCTACGGTCGGGCAATTGGATAGAACTAGAAAAGAAGACTCAGGATAGATTAGGTTGAACAATGCAAGTCAGCAACCTATCACGCTCCATTAATGGTAACAGGCGTCAGTAAGTAATCATTAAAACTTAACAACTCTATTTTTGATTCGTTTGAAATAAACATAGTAGTTCAATATAAATATTTACTAAAAAAAAACAAACACACACTAAAACACAAGAACAAAAAACAATCAAATTATATAATTGAACACAAATAATCGGAAATAATAAGAGACAGAGAAGGAGAGAGCAATGAGTGTAGGCATGGTGAAGAGAGAGCGCGGTGAGAGGAAGAAACACGTCTCAACAACGATACTAATAACAACAATAAAAAACTCCATTCTAATTTAAAAATCGGGAAGAGAGATATAATTCAGAGAAAAAAATATATACCATTCAGTTCTTATACATATATATATATATATATAGAAAGAACTTGATCTATTCTATATTTATCCTTGGATGAAATTAAAAACAGAACGAATCACATTACAGTGTAATTCATCTATTGTGTAAACTAAATAAATGATTAGGTAACCCCAGTAGAAGATAAACATGAAGTTCGTATGATTATTCTGATTATTATTATTTTGTGTTTTAATTAATAACAAATAAAATTGTATTTTTTTTTATTCATTTCATGAAGAGAAAAAAAACACAGGATATCATTATTGTGATTATGATTATTTTAGAATAATAATATTTTATTAGACAACATGAATAAAAAAAGGAGTCAAAACAAACATGAAATCACAATTAAATTAAGTTGAATTAATTAATTTACGCAACGCAACGCAACGCAACGAGTAACGGATATTGATATAGAAGAATTGAAAAATATTAATAATAATAATAATAATAAAGATGAGTTATGTATTTTTTATTTTGGTAAGAATGAATTTGAGAGTTAATTTTTAGAAACGAGAAAAAAACAGTAAGTAAATAAATAATCACTGAAATCACGAATGAATCATTGAATCATTGTTAGACCAGTGTTAATGGCAACCTGGTCAGTCAGTCAGTCAGATGCAACGTAGAACTTTGTACATAAGTACATCAGTTCATGTCGCCATACCACATCAGCACAGAGAAGTAATCGTCAATTCAAATCCAATAGTAGAAGAGGTAGTAAGGGAATTAGAAGTAATCGGAGAGGTTAGGATTAGAAGATACTATTCAAGAAGTATGATTCAATGAGAAAAGTTTAGAGAGTCGAAACTAGAGGGGTTGAAGAATCCAGAAGATTAGCATTTGAGAGAACACAAAGAATAAATGCACCGGCGCCATTGCGAACGATTTTGAGCCATGTCATTCAAGGTCTCTAACCATCGATTATTATCATCTCGCGGACCCCAACCAGGTAGTCGACAATTACCGACATGGCTAAGTCCAGTCGTCAATGACTTCATGGATTTCTGCCATGTTTTGGTTTGGCCGCCCCTAGCTTTCTTCCAACCTACTCCTACACTACAAAACAAGGCTCGACGAGGCAGTCGGTGGTTGGGCATACGCAACACATGTCCCAACCACCTCAACTGGTGAAGTTTCAATACTTCATCGATTGATCTGCCATTCTTACCTAATGGCAACCTGGAAGCACCAATGGACGACTGTTTCAGTCTGGTATGGGACTACTACTCATAAGCAGTGAGCATCCACGACTTAACAGGATTCGAAAGAAGGATCTTCAGTCTTACGCGATAATACTTAACCGAGTCTAACAATGACTGATTCACGAAGTCAGTAATAAACAACCATCTCCATAACTTTATAATGAAAAATAAATAATCTTTTTTTTCCATGATAGGGATTTGGGGATATTTATTAAGTTTCACTGAAGTATTGTAAAAATCATAAAAAAGATGCTCAGTAGTGGTGATAAGCTCCGATACGAACAAATTGTCGGAGCTCTAGTGAGAAGCCGTGTCCAGTGGAGTTCAGCCTTGTCACGCAATACCTTATATTGACATTAACACCGTTGGATGTCGGCTTAATGATCTAGAGGTTAGGCGTTTACGTGCGAGACTGACTTCTGAGAGTGGGTGTCGTAGATGCGCACTGCTAATAAATCTTATACTAGGAAAAAACAGTTGTCCAATGTTTTAAGGTTTCTAATGGTGATCTAATCATGAACGATCAATGATTTCAATGAAACTACAAAATATCAGAAAAAAGTGAAAACCTTAAAAATGATAATAAAAATCAATTTACATTTTTCACAGTCATCAAGTGGACAGTTCACTTTCATTGCCTCTCATTAAATTCGTTCCCTTATATTTTGTTAGTCTTCAGATAAACAAACAACTTCTTTATTAGTGTAGGTGATTTATGAATATTGGTGAATTACATAGTTTGCCTAATGGACTGACAATTAACGATTACGCAGTGTTGAGAATTGAATGAAACTAGAAATGTAAAAAGTTCAACGCCGACTTAATAGACTCAAGAGATCTAATGGTCCTGTGTTTGACACCTGCTGCTACTTCGACTACCTCTACCACTATCTGTCTGTGGTATGGCAACTTGAACCGATGTACGTATGCACAAAGGTCCATGTTGTTGCTGACTGACTCATCTGGTTAGGGTAACGAATGCATGATGGATGAATTATTAAATAAGACCCAAAGTAAGTCAGCTTACTTGATCATACATATCTTTCATGCCACCAGAGAATCCTCGCCAATTAGCAAAAATGAATAAAGGTAAATGTTCACGTGACAGATCAGCAATAGCTTGTGCAGTTTTATACGCTGAATCTGGATACCATACTTGACCAGCTTGATTAACAATTTGTGCTTCAGATGATAAATTAGCCGGATCAGCAGGTACACGACAAACAACAGATCTTGTTTCAGCTGTAATAACACCACATGGAATACCACCTAAACGTGCTCTACCAGTTACAACTCCAGCAGCCCATGATGATAATGTTTCTTGCCATGTTCCCCAATCGAAAAATCCTGATATCCAACGATCAGTATGTGCACTATCAAATGGTTGGTCAGTTGAAGAAGATTGTTTACTAGAGGATTTACAAAATGCTTCGAAATGAGAACCTATTTTAAGGAGGAAGAAAAAAGTATAAACATGTTTTAGTAAAAGAAACAAGGAGTCATGTCCAATATGTTCAATCTTCAATAAATGAACTTTTCGTGACTAGTGATGATAAATGTGTGTATATACACTACAAATAAATTAATTTATTATTCTTTTTTTCGATATAACTCAATTTTGTAAAGCATATATTTATATAAGGTGCAAAAAGACAGACTTGCACTTTCGCCTAGGTAGCGGGGATATTTTCCCGTGAGTTAACGCAAGCAGGTAGGAGACCAGACTAATCCCCTACTCTATCCAAATCCTGTAGAAATACAAGATAAGATATGAGCTGTAGAGAGGAAGAGCTTCCTTTTGGGTTTGTCTGAACTCTGCTCTGGTTGAGGCGGGCCAGAGTAGTGATTATAAGCTATGTTGTAACCAGTGAGCAGAGGTTGACACTAAACTTATTTTGGTATGAGAGTGATGGAGTTTATTGTCAGCTGACGATTTATTTACTAAGCTGATTTAACCATTCATTCAGTACAACTTATAGACTGGACTACTGACATGAGTAAACGCATCTATACCTATGTGTTTATAAGAATGTATGGACCTTGGGTCAATACACTCCTTTTAAGTATAGAACCTCAACTTGCATGAGGAAACTTCTATGCATATATGTACTTACAGCATGAATAAACTTGTCTAATCATCTAGTATGACCTATACTAGCTGCTGCACTCATCCATATCTATATTTATGTGAACTAAATGTTCACATAAAACATAATTGGAAGAAGCTACCATGTCTCATACTAAGCGTGCTCATTATTGCTCACAACTGTACTGGGGCAGACTGATACCAACTCCATCTGCTCTCTCTCTCTCTCTATATATATATATATATATATATGGTTGCTTCGATATCTCAATCCGAAAATACGCTCTTCTTTTCTTTTCCCGATATGGCATTTACTTTACAGAAGGGCCCTAACTTTTCACCTTGCAAAACCAATCAACTTCCCTCCTCATGAGGTGGGCTTAATTGACTTTGTTAAATAACTACTATAAATATTATTTTGAAACCATAAATCGATCAATGTTAGGCCACCATTAGAAGCCTAGTGACTGGCTCCGTGAGGACGTTTCTCCGACTTGTAGTGAGAAGTCGCGACGAAAGGAGTTTATCCCTGTTCGGACGTGAAGCAGTGCTCACTGAAGACAGTGAATGAGGTCGCGCAAGACTATGGATTGATCGAAGTTAGAAATTAACAACATTAGATACCGGTTCAGTGGTCCTAAGGTCATGCGTTCTTGCGTAAGATCGAAAGTCCTGGGTTAGAAACCTGTGAGTAGCAGAAGTCATGGACGCGCACTGTTGACCAGTCAGTCCCATACCAGGAAGAAACGGCCGTCCAATCGCTTCCAGGTTTCTAATGGCAGTCAAACATTGATCGATTCATGATTTCAAAAAGTAACTCAACAATTTCCACAACCCTCACGTGCAAATAATATATTTATGTGTAGTCGGTTTTAAACTCCACAACATGAAGCAGAAAAGTGATTAAACCGGACAAACAAGATTAATGCCAATTTCTGCTTACTTACTCATAATCCCAGTAAACATCCAACGTGGATCATCATTTGGTCGATCACGACTAGGTACATATTCAACAATTCGATCAATTGGATCAAATGGTAAATAGAAATCAATTGGTTTATTGAATTTCGGTTGATGCACTTTCAATTGTGATGATGATGATGATGATGTCATGTCAATATTAGTGAAATTATGATTTGTTTGATTTAAATGATAATGTCCTCTTTCAATTTGTATTGGTTTATATAAAACTGAAAATGTTTTATTTGTATATTGTGGTATATAACTAAGCCATTCAATAGCTAATTGTAAAGCGGACAATTCATCGGATGCAACCAAATGTGAAACACCATTTGTTGCCATAACCTAAAATTTACAGATGAAAAAGGAAATCGAATGTATATTTCTTGTAGTTTTAAAATTTTTATTGTTATTTTCAAGTATAATATCAGTTGAGGTTAGTTGGAACATGTGTTACGAACGACCAACCATTGACTAGCGCGATAAGAGATGCTGTCTGATGTATGGGTAGCAGGCTGGAAGAAAGCTAAGGGCGTCCAAACTAAAACAAGGCGTAAATCTATGAATTCGTTAAAAACTGGACTGAGTTATGTTAGTAGGTGCATAATACCAGGTTTAAGTCCACGAGACAATAGTAACCGATAGTTAGAGAGTTCGAATGACATGGCTCGAAATCATATGCAACAACATAAGTGCATCTCTTTTTAAATTAATTTCACCCGACTATACTTGAATGATTTCTTCGAACCCTGATCTTCTCCATTACCGCTATGGGATTTGAATCGACGATTGCATCTGTTTGTGCAAGTTCTACATTGTAGCTGACTAACGGACTGATGATACCACTCCAGAGTTTAGTTGATTTCAATTATTAAAATTTACTACAGAAAGACATGAATATTTACAAATAAAACAAATACTGATCAGACTACTACTACTACTACCAACAAACAGATCATCGAGAAGATTTATTAACGAGTTTTATTGTTTGTTTTGAATAAAACTTATATGAAACATCTGTCTGCAACAATTAGTATATACTACAGTTCAAATAATTCATTGATCATGTTTCTCTGCATGACACTAAGCAATGCGAATTGAAATCAAACAGTGAGCGTCAGCAGCATCTACAATATCACAGATGCATCGTTCATATTGACTATCACAATATTGTTACGCCTATACGTAAACACGTTAATTTGATATGCTTGAAGTATTACGAGTTTACTGCGTCGGAGAACGAGAGCGAGGATCCGGCGACACGACATGCTACTCAAATCCGATTATCCCAACCCGCATATTGAGTAAAAATAAAAAGACTTGATATGAAGTAGAACCTGTATTCTACGAGCATCTAGAAAGTACGAGGTCCGAATCCAGAAGAGAATCAGGATCCGGGACCGTGTCATGGTCCTGGTCAAAAAGCGTTACAGATAATGCGTATTTATACATTTTGGTCGGATAGGAAACAGCATCGAAGTCTGTGACATTGATAGTCAGGACAACCAATAAGAAATAACATTGGAGCACATGAGATTGATATCTAGGACGACCATAAAATTGACCAGTAGGAATTAACCAATAGGAATGTTGAGTACACAAACGACTGTGTAGTTAGTAAGTGCACTCATTGTACAATCTGATGTTCAACTCAGTCAGTCAGTTGCAACGTAGAACTTCGTACGTAAGTACATCACTTCATGTCGCCATACCACATCAGCACAGAGATGAAATTGTCAATTCGAATCCAATAGTAGAAGAGGTAGTATGGGTATTAGAAGTAATCGGAGAGGTTAGGATTAGAAGATACTATTCAAGAAGTATGATTAAGTGAGAAAAGTTTAGAAAGTCAAAACTAGAGGGGTTGAAGAATCCAGAAGATTAGGATTTGAGAGAACACAAAGAATAAATGCACCGGCGCCATTGCGAACGATTTTGAGCCATGTCATTCAAGGTCTCTAACCATCGATTATTGTCATCTCGCGGACCCCAACCAGGTAGTCGACAATTACCGATATGGCTAAGTCCACTTGTCAATGACTTCATGGATTTCTGCCATGTTTTGGTTTGGCCACCCCTAACTTTCTTCCAATCTACTCCTACACTACAAAACAAAGCTCGTCGAGGCAGTCGGTGGTTGGGCATACGCAGCACATGTCCCAACCACCTCAACTGATGAACTTTCACCACTTCATCAATTGATCTGCCATTCTTGCCTAGCACCCGATTCCTAATAACAGCGTTGCTTACTCGGTTGTCCCACGATATACGAGCAATGCTTCGAAGACACGTATGATCGAAAACCAGTAACCTACGAATATCTTCTACTCTCACTGGACATGTTTCACAGCCATATAGGAGAACGGAGCGAACTGCTGCACAGTACACTCGTCCATTAGTCAGCAAACGGATATCTCGCCTACGCCATAAGTGACGCAAGTTGGCAAAAGCCAATCGAGCCTTCTGTATCCGAGCTGAGATCTCGTCAGTCACCAGGCCATCGGCACTGATGAGACTCTCCAGGTAAGTGAAGCGGTCTAAATGTTCGACTACTTCACTCTCTATCACCAGTTCAGGTGCCGATGCAACCCAATCTTGAAGCAACATTTTGCATTTCGAGGGGGAAAACCGCATCCCGAACATGCTTGCATTGTTGCTTAGGGTAGTCAGAAGACTCTGCATTTTGTCAGCGTCTTCACCAAGTAGGACAATGTCATCGGCATATTCTAAGTCAATAAGCGAGCCAGCAGGTAAAAGGTCTATAATGTTCAACTTGTTGAAACGATATGTAATACTTGGTTTGAAAATTCGCAATACAAAAACATACATTACAATTTCAGGTATTTATGAATCTTTTTATAAGACCAGTTCTAAATTATGGTTGCATGTCAATGATATTATAATAGTCTAACTAAGATAAGCATAGGCAATACATTCATAAATCTATGCATGATAAAATAACTGGCATGCAATTTACATATTCTTCTATCATCTAGTCCATGATATCAATAATTAGGTACAATAAAATTAAAAAAATGATTATTTGATTAAAAGCCACGAAAATACACTTGAGTTTTATTGTCATCTGTCTAACTGATGTAAGAAATCGTACATCACTTACCATGAATTCAAAATGGTGAAGAAAATTTGTGTAGCTCAGGTGGGGATGTTTTGGTTGTGAAGCTTTCATTGTTTTGCTGCTGAACAGCGTCATCAACAATATAAACTTCAGGTATATAAGTGAAGTAGTCGAATTTCTCCACGCATGACTCATAATAAGAAACAGATCAAATGGAGATATAATCAAAATACCGATGCAGACAACAACCGGTTTAAGGTCAACCAACAACCAATCAAGATCTAGATTAACAGAACAAATCATACTACCTGGAGAGATTTGAATATTTCACTTCTTCTACCTGAAGTTTGTGCTGCTGCTGATGATGATGTTGTTCAATAGAACAACAATGAAAACTCCACAATCAAAATATCCAGTTAACAGAATAAAAAACTCCATCATAATTTATATGAATCTGGCTAGAAATTGACAAGCAGTAATGAATATTGAATAGTTTTATCAAGAAATTTACTTAAAAACCATTAAAAAACATATCCATTGAAATTTTAAGTGAAATTCCTAGAATAAGAGATAAAAAAAAAACAGTTCTCAAATATAACTACAACGAAAAAACGATAAAAAAAATTCATAAGTGTAATTCTATGTAACATAATATTTATTATTGCACTAACCTGTACACCGCCTAATTGACTATTACTAGAATATACTTCACGACCAAGAAGTTTATTAAGAGCCATAGCACCGGTCAGTATGATATGTGAATTATTAACCTAACAATTTGAAAGAAACAATGAAATCAGAAATGTGAGAAACATTTAGAAATACATTTGTGCATATATATTTGTTGTGGTTAGCGTTCTTTTCAGAAAGGTAACTGTCTATGGAATGGGGTCGTTAACTCCATGTCCAGCCCTCTTCTTTTACCCAAGTTTGGGAGCCTCAGTAATCCCCAGAGGGGCTCCAAGTGGAGGAGGAAAACTAACGAACACATTACGTCGAGAATCGGAAGCAGAAATGAAAAGAATGAACGGCGATTGTGTAGAGCTAGAAATGAAGGCCTCAGACAGAGTTCAGTGGAGAATACTGGTGGAAGGCCTATACTCCATCTGGAGTAACGGGAGTAAGCCACATATGTATCTAAGAGGTATTCAGCCAGAAAAATAAACGTTAAAACCATCAAAATCAAATGTTCAAACAATGTACACTGAACAAAACCTACTTGAATAACACGTTGACCAAGACGTGTTAAATAAGCTCCAATACCGATAGCACGATTTGTAACTACTGTAATAGTGAATATATCATCGTATGCTGCCGATGTTTCACCAGCAATCATAGCTGAACCACGAAGATTTTCAGCAGACATATCATATTCTTTGCCTATAATGTAATAGAGATAAATTTTAGGAAAAAATACCTAATATCTAAGCGTATTACTTCATTGTATAAAATAACTCATGTTCCAGTCAGTTTTATACAATCAATCCTGGTAAAAAAAGAAAATTATTGTGATATCTTTTGAAATCATCAATCAATCATTGTTAGACCACCATTAGAAACCTGGAAGCACTTGAAAGCCGTTTCGTCCTGGTATGGGACTCATCAGCACTGCGCATCCACGACTCCTGCACCTCGCAGGATTCGAACCCGGGACCTTCAGTATTGTGGGCATTGGACGGCGCACTGCTGATGAGTCCCATAACAGGAAAAAACGGTAGTCCAGTGCTTCCAGGTTTCTAATGGTGGTCTAACAATGATTGATTAATGATTTCAAATGTGTAAAGACACAAACCTCCAAAGTTCTGCCTGAAAATATTGTGATATCTATTGATATCTGGCCGCGGAATTTCAGCACTGGTGGTTAAAAATAGACTAATCTGACCAATAAGCCACTGTAATCAGTAGATTAGATGATTACAATATTTGGATATACAGATAATTATACCAATATAACTAGGGGGATCTAGTTCAAAACAGTAAAAAAGTATCAACCAAAATAAAGTTTACACAATTACAAACAAGTACCCCCAACATCTCAATATACTCATTATAGGAAAAGATAACTTAAGAGATGGTGATGATTAAGATGGAGTTTTATTATCTAAAGTGTAGATTCTGATTGAGAAATATATGGAACACTTTACAATTTTGTGTGTCATCAACTTATAAAAGAGAATTAAAGATAAGCGTAATGTAATAAAGTTATTTTCTGTTGATTATTAAGTAAATGGAAACGAGACAAGCTGACCAGTGGTGTTTTATGATTGAGAATATGTCAATAGTACTCACTTGAGAGCTTCTAGTATAAAATTTATTTAAAAAGAACCCCCCAAAATAAATATTTTTACGCAAGATTATTAAACTTTGACTGCGTAACAAGATGAGCCTTCACTTGGAATCCTCTAGGCCGAAAATGAAAGATGAAAAAATTCAGCGCGCCGAGAATTGAAAGCAGACATTAAAAGAATGAGTAACAATTTAACAGAACTAGAAAGGAAGGTCCAGGGTAGAGTAGGTAGGCGACCTATGCTCCATTAGGGGTAACAAGCGAAAGCAAGTAATTAAATAAATAAGTACTGAGTGAAATATATGAGAATTACTCGAGTAAAGAATAATTTCGTCGTAATTTCTAGTAGTATATCAAATCTATTTCAAAGTTTTCCATTTATGGCTCATTTCAAATTGTTATTAAAACAAATATTGATATAATTAGAGTTTTCACAGTAAGATAAAAAAAAATACGATTATTCAGTATAAATCGCGCATGGCGGACAGAACACAGAATCATTCCAAGTGAAAACCGGTGTTATTTAAGGTCGCTTACTCATACACATTAAATTTTTTCCATTGACAGAAGAAAAGCTCAACATTTGGAAGAAATCATGGAATACAGTGAACAGTTTCGATGCAGCTGAACGATCTGGACATCATAAATGATCTAACCCTTCTATCTCACAAATAATAACAAATGCACGAAAAGATGGCCAGTTTAACATCAACCTCTGCAGCAGTAGGTCTAAACATGCGTGCTCGGTAAAACAAGATCCTTCGATACAACACAACATGCACCAACCAAGTCACACTTAACGGAGAAGCTCTCTGTAGTAGCCTTCACACATCCGGTCGACATCAGTGATAAACAAGGTGGATCTGACGTTGATGTAAAGACACAGATCATCAAAGCAAGGGAAGTATTTCTACTATTGAAGAACATCCAAAGCTGAAAACAACTATCAGCCAACACCAAAGTCAGAATTTTTGATACGAACGTCAACACAGTACTTTTGCATGAAGAGAAAAGTTGGAAAACTGCGAAAACCATCTTCCATAAGATAAGGTGTTTAGGATCGAAAAAATTCTCACAGTTTCTCACATTTGTACAAACCATTAAACATACAATTAATTTTGTAAAGTCACAACATTAAGTTAACGCAAAAACTTGTTATCATCATAATTTTAAATAATTTACCAATAATATCAATTATTTTATAACGTATCTCTCCATTTTCTTCAATTCGTTCACAATTTACCGCTTCATCATATTTGAAACGATAGTAATCGTCTGGAGTTAAGTATATATATTTGTAACCCTATGAATTTGAAAAAGATATTGATGAAAACAGAGATATGAATAATATTTCTTCAACATATATATATATATATATATATATATATATATATATATGTCAGGATATGTTTATATTCATAATAATAGTAAAGTAACAATAATAATAACAATAATAAATAGTTTATCAATTACTCAACTATTGTGTTGGATACTACTGGCAACTTGGTTTATATAAGTAGTATACAATAAAGTGTCACCTAGAAGTTCCTATCGGAGAGAAGAGTGTCAGATACGAAAGCGTATCGCGATTAAAGTGTTTTAAAGACAAGGAACAATCTGTTTGTTTTGTAAATGGAAATCTGATGATAAGATTTTTAATATTTTGTGTCTTCTCTCCAAGTACACTACTTAGCTAATCTGTGCCGACTGAATTATTGAAATTATTTTGAATTTTGAATTGATAAGATGTTAATAAATAAAGTTTTCATTATAGTAGGTTTGTGGAGAATGTTGAATATCATTGAAATTATGAATCGATCAATGTTATATCAGCATTATTAACATCAAAGCAGTAGACAGCCACTTCGTCCTAGTATGGGACTCATCCGTAGTGCGCATCCATGATTCTAACAAGCGGGGATTGAATCCAAGACCTTCAAACCTCTAAACCACTGAGCTGGCATCCAACGGTGTTAATGTCCAACTTCAATCAATCCACGGTATCATGAGACCTAATCTATTATCTTCAATGGGTAACTAACTGCCTTACTTCCGACCGGTGGTCTAACAGTGATCAATTCATGATTTCAGTGAATGCAATGATATTTGATAAGTCATTAAAAGCATGGTTGAAAAATGGGCAATTACTAAAGTTTTTAAAAAAATCATTCCCAAAACCAACTAAGGTTAGTTTTATGCAACATAGTTAATGAATTTCTTATGTTAGGTGATATGAGGTGATAGTCATTATACAAGAAAATACGCAATTTAAAGCTTCAACATGAATATACTATACACATGCACACACGAACACACTGTGTTCTTCTACAGAAAGCCAAAATCAACAAAGGTAATTGTTACGCCTGCACGTCAACATGTCAATTTGATATGCTTGAACAAGTACCAGTTTACCTAGTCGGAAAACGAGAGCGAGGATCCGGTGACACGACATGCTACTCAAATCCGATTATCCCAACTCCCATATTTAGTGAAAATAAGAAGACATGATATGAAGTTGAATCTAGAAAGTACGAGGTCCGAATCCAGAAGAGAATCAGGATCCAGGACCGTGTCCTGGTCCTGGTCATAAAGCGTTACAGATAATGCGTATTTATACATTTTGGTCGAATAGGAAACAGCATCGAATACTGTGGCATCGACAGTTAAGACGACCAATAGGAAGTAACATTTGAAATGATATTGACAATCCGGATGACCAATAAGAGAAAACATTGAAGTGTTTGACTTTGACAGTTAAAACGACCATAATTTTGACCAATAGAAATCAACCAATAGGATTTGACCAATAATTCTCTTAGGATATTGGATGAATATCCTAACAGTAATGAAAACTCAATGAAACAAAAATCACTTAACAATGAATGTACTAATAAAAGTATTACAAATATAAACAAACCTTTTCCGGATGTTCACAATCAATCCATGCAATATTGAATACACTTTTAAGATCTTCAGCAATTTTTATTCGTGCACCGGTGTTGGATGCTAAATAAAATCGTGGAATACCAAAATGTCGAGCTAATTGACTGGCACGATGAAATGTCAAATCTTCAGCTGGACCAAATGAACCGGCTTTAACTGTTGCATCATTTGCTATCACAATAATTGGACGACCTGATGGAGTTTCTGGTGTACGTATTACCATATACCATACAACCATTCCAATCTAGAATGTAAAGAAAAACAACAATTCCATTAAGCTTTCTTTTTGTTGATAGAAGAAAACATTGAATAATGAATGATACATATTGATGAATTGCACTCCCCTACCAAAAAATCACTGTTAGCTCACTTTCCTAAATACTAATGGTAATAATATGTACTGAATGTCATTACATAATATTCATTAGAGGGTTGTGGAGATTGTTGAGTTTCTTTGAAATCGTGAATAGACCACTGTTAGAAAGCTAGAAGCATTGGACAGTTGTTTCGTCCTGGTATAGGACTCATCAGCAGTGTAACTCATCCACGACATTTGCTACTGGCAGGAATTGGAACCTAGGACCGTCCATCTTACGCTCGAATGCGTTAACTCTGAATCACTGAGCAGGCGACCAATAGTGTTAATGTATGAATTCGATCGATTCAAGGTCTTGCGTATACCAGAATGAAACGGTCTTCCAGTTCTTCCAGGTTTTTAATAGTGATCTAACATTGATCGGTTCATGATTTCAAAGTATATGAGACACGTCAACTGAAAGACATATAACTGAATTAATAAAATATATTATTACAAGTAAATATGCATATTTAAAAGTGATAACATCTTATTTTTGAAATGCACTACAATAGTGTATTAATTTTAATTTCTAAAATACAAGTTGATGTACTAATCAACTACGATCGCAGTAATATCTGACTGTTCAAACATATATATAAGACTAGATTTAAACGGACAATCAATTCAAGTATTATTCAACTCTCTATGTAATTACGATTAAGAGATATAAAACAAATAGTTTGTCAGCTACAACGTAAAACTTCGTACGTACGTACATCATATATTAGTACACAACGATGGAATTGCCATTTAAAACCCCATAGTAGTAAAGTTTGCAGTAGTATTAGCGGTAATCGAAAAGATAACGGATCAAGGAACTATAACCCAGTGAGGTAAATTTGAAGAGAATAAAACGGTCAAGGGGAATTCAGGAGACTAGAATTTGGGAGTAGATAAAGAATGGATCATAAGGTCATTTGATTTTGAAGCCATTTAGACCCACAGTCCGGAACTCTTGACTGCATTGTCTAATTACTCCTCTCTATATATGTGTCCATGCAAACATGTAATCTGATAAATGCAATGGGATGTGATGTAATCGCTCGAGTAATGTCATCAATGGCTGAACACATAATTGGGACGAGACATTGGACTGACATGAAGACAGCTTTCAAAGCATTATATAGAAGCAATCAAGGACGAATTCTGAGGATCAAAGAAACTTGGCTATTTATAAACCTCCCTTATATGGGCAGAGACGATTTGTTATTACCTTGGATTGACCCTGGTAATCTTTAGGTCTTTTAATGGCCTGAGGGTGATATGAAAATTTACTATTTTCTCTCTCCTTTATTTTTATAATTATCATATTAAATGTACTTGAACTTTTATTTAATCGGTCTTTTATTCATTTCACATATAATGTCTTGATGAGTAACTTCGCCTGGCTCCCATCTGAAGCTACTGCCAGTCCTAAGCCCAGACAGAGGAGGATGGTCGGGCATGGGGTTAACGACCCCATCCTGTGGAAAACTAACTCGCTTGATAAGGGTGTCTGTGTGATCATATTGTTTGAAATGTATAGCGCGCAAATATATCATTATATCTTTCAGATCAACTACGTTCTCTCAACATTTATAAAAAGATATACATGAAAAATTTTTTACTTACCTATGAAAAAAGGATAAATATATAATAAAGTATGAAAATTTAAGGGAGATTTACACATAAAATGTAATTCATAATTTTCTTATACATTTACCATGATTGAAATACACTTCAGTCAGCAACAACATAGAACTAGGTACGTACGTACATCACTTAAAGTTGCCATGTCAGCCGTACTAAAATAGGGCACAAATCCACGAAGTCATTGACAACTGGACTGAGCCATATCAGTAAGTATAGATCATCTGTTTGGGGTCCACGAGACAATAGTAACCGATGGTTAGAGATTTTGAACGACAAGGCTCAAAATCGTTTGCAATGGTGCAGATGCATCCATTCTTTGTCTTCTCTTAAGTTCTAATCCTCTAAAATTCCTCATCACCTATATCTTTCTCTTTCTAAAGTTATCTCACTGCATAATACTTCTTGAATAATACATTCGAACCCTAACCTTCTTCATCACCGGTAATACTTCTACTACCTTTACTACTAAGAGATATGAATTGACAATTGCGTCTGTGTATGTGTGGTAACGTGGTATGGCAACCTGAACAGGTATACGTACGTACGAAGTTCTACGTTGTAGCTGACTGACTGACATTAGAACAGAGAGATTGAAATGTTAATTCAAACCCCATAGTAGTAGAGGTTATAGCAGTACTAGCGGTAATGGAGAAGATTAGGCATCGAAAAAATTGTTTAGGAAGTATAATCCAGTGAGGTAAATTTAAAAAAAAGAAAACAAAGGGTCATGAGGAATTTAGAAGATTATAATTTAAGACAACACAAAGAATCGATGCACCTGCGCCATTATAACCTATTGAAAGTCATATCATTCAAAGTCTCTAACCACCGGTTATGATTATCACACAGAAACTAACCAGGTCAGTCTACACCTATTAACATGACTCAGTCCACTTGTCACTGACTTCATAGATATGTATCATGTTTTTGGTTTGAAATACAACAAGACACCAGGGTGATACAATGTGAATGAAGAAACAAAGTTGAAGTATAGAAACAATATGAACAACAAACAGTCATATCATCATTTATTCTTACCTCATTTGTACCTAAAGTATTTGTATTCGGTTGTAAATTACCATATTTATTTAATGATAATTCTATACAATTAATCATTAAATTCTCTGGTATTTGTAATGGGATTAAATTATGAAATTTTTCTGATAGAGAATTATTTTTCGCATGATGTATTGATTTGTCCAATGCAGTAGCATGATTATTTGTCATATTCTCCGATGATTCATGATGTTTCCAATTGATATATGGACAATAACTTTGCCAGACACCAGTTAATGCTTGAGCTAACAATGCAGGATAATCATACACATAAGTAGTATTGAATTTTCTGGCCTGTAACATACACACACACACACACAAAAATAAAAGTGATAAATTATGAGAAGCGATAACTTCGGTTGCATGTTTCTTTAAACCTTTAATTAGATTTTTGTGCCTAAAATAGTCATTCACATACACCTGTTGACACTAACAACCAACCGATTTAAAAACCTACATTGTCTATCTTAGGTTCTGTTGTCCATTTCATATCGTGTGTTGCGCGGTTTTCTTCATGTTTACCTACAATTCCTAGCATAATAAGTTCATGGATAATTCTTTTTCCCATTTTGTTTTGAGGATTTCAAGTTGGAGTTGGCTCAATGCCATAGTGTGTGACTTATCGAATGCTAGCGTTTTTAAAAAAATTCTCTCTTCATCTTAGGTCTGGTTTGTTCTCTCCTACAGTAGGCAGATTGTTGCTGATGGTGGTCAGCCAACGGATATAGAGTATCTGTTCATAAATACCAGAAACCTTGATGATGATGTTGATGATCGTAGTAGTTTGTCATGTTTCAGCATACTACAATAGAACTATCTTTATACTCATATTGAAAATTCTGACTTTAATGTTGGCTGATTGGTAGTTGTTAAAAAACGATAACTTGATCATTTGAAAAAAAATTTCAAAGACCACAAATAGTCAGTAAAGTAGACATTTTTCTAACCGTAACTACTACAGTGACATGATGTTCGATTTGCATTAATGCCTCAAAAATTTGTTTGAAGTTGTTCTCACAGATTTTGTAATTATTTAACATGAATGAATTCATGAATTTAATGTGTAATACTAAAATGTAAAATCGAAAAATGTGCTCACTGGTGACTAGCTTCGTGAGGGAATTCTCGGAGTTCGGCTGAGAAGACATGACTAGTGGAGTTTAACCGTGTCGAGTGTAGGCAGTCACTACCGTGCACAAATGAGTGAGGTTGAACAAAATCCTAAGATTGATCAAAGTTAGACATTAACACCATTGGATATCGGCCAGCTCAGTGGTCTAGAGGTTAAGCGTTCAAGCGCAAGGCCCAAGGTCCTGGCTTCGAATCCTACGAGTAGACGGAGTCGTGGATGCGCACTGCTGATAAGTCTCATACCAAGATGAAACGGCTGTCTAGTGCTTCCAAGTTTCCGATGGTGGTCTAACAATGAATAATTCATGATTTCAGGGTAAACACAACGTTCTCCGTAATACTCTAATCTATCAAAGATATCTACGATCAAATTACAAGCGAATCAAACAAGTATTCGAAGTTTTACAGTTATGTTTTAAACTTACTAGAAATATGAATGAATTCTCGTATATGAGAAATACAAAAGAGGATATATATACATATATATTACCAATAACTAACTACCTGAAAACGTTTAACTTCAAAAAAGTCTTTATTCTCATGTGCTGTTACTGCTGGATGTCCATTTAAACGACCATTAAGTGGACTTATTGATTGTAGAATGCATATACCAGTTTCTGAATCGAATACTTCACGATATACATCTAATCCTAAATCATAACCATGTTCATCACGAAGCATAACACGAATTGGTACAATAGGATCATTTGCATGAAATCTTATATGTAGTTTTAGTTCAGCCTTTAAAACAGAAAGAAGAATTATTTTATGAATTAATGTAAGCATTACTAACGATTAGACAGCCAAACCCGTATAAATGTAGATTGATATTGATAAACTACTATTATCAGTTGTAACAGCGTATAAGTTTAATGTGCAAACACACTAGAGGTGATGAAATTTTTTCAAATAACAAACTGAACTTCAAACATTAAAATTACAACTGAATGGAGATAAATTTTGTTTAGCGAGAACATGTCTATGCACTTCATGAACGAACATCTAACACAATACAAATTCAAGATAACTAATCATTCAGCGGGCATCCAGTAATTCCATATTTCTAATGGAAATCTAACAATGATCAATTCATGATTTCGATTAAACTCAACAATCTTCCCAACCCTATAATGACAATTATCAAGTATTCAGTAGTGACTAGCTTCGTAAGGGAATTGTCGGTGTTCTAGTGACCAGTGGAGTTTAATCGTGTCGTGGATTTATTGAAGTTAGACAGTAACACCATTAGATTTTGACTTTTTGATCGAGCGGCTAAGTGTTGCCTCGAGACCGAAGGTTTCCTGTTCCACTGAAGCATGTGCAGATGGTGGATAGGCATTACTGATAAGTTCCATATAAGGACAAAGCAGCCGTCTAGTGCTTTGAAGTTAATAAAGGTCATCCAAACATTGATCGATTCATAATTTAAACGAAACTCAACAATTTCCACAACCCTAAAACGGCGCTAAATACAGCTTTAACCCTAACCAAAGTTCTTATATAAACATAGAACATGGTAGTGAAAGAATATATATATCTTTAAAAATACATTCCAATGATGAGCAGGTACAAAAAAATTCCTTTGTCATTCATTACCTTCTTCCTATATTCACTGTTGAGTTATTGGTCTTTTAAAAAACTATTAACTAATTAGAACGAACTCATTTGGGGAAAACAGTAAAAAAAATCATTCGTTTTTACAAAAAAGAAAAAATTAAATCACCTACTTGTGATACACGTAAACGTAGAAAACGTCGAGCATAACGCATTACAACTCGTCTAATTGTGGATTTCAACCGGTTAATATCTTCTAATAGTAGAACAGGAACAAAATTTAAAAATATATGATTTCCCATTGTTCGACTTGCATCCGGATGTCCTGATGCTAGATCTAAGGCATCCATTGCTTCCAACAGAATTTGTTCCGCTTCTGATTGAAGATATTCAAATGATGCTTCACGTGACACTAAATCCGCATGACGTATAATACAACGGACAAAAAATCGATAATCCACTACATCTTTCCGTCCATTGATCTAGTTGACGAACAGAATTAGAAATAGATAAAAGACAAGAGAGAAAAAATTCGCTTTTAAATTTTTAGATAGTATTTAAATTGTTAAGTAAATACACGTCTAGCTGAAAGAAGAAATTAGGGAAAAAGTGCTAGAGGTGGATAGAGCACGCATTGAGGAAATCATGCAAATATGTCATCACACAGTAAGTCATAACTTGGAATCCTCGAGGCGAAAAGAAAAGAAGCAGACTAATAAACACATTGCGTAGAGAATCGGAAGAAGATAGGCAAACAATGAATAGCAGTCAAGGAATAACTTGATGGCATGCGTCGGCAGCTTAGCTAGTGATAGGGAGTGAAGTGGTTGAACGTGCGGACCGCCTCACTTGGAAGTCTCATCAGTCCAGGTGGCCGAGTGTCTGACGCAATCTCTCACGTTCGCTAACCAAAGGAAGAGCCTAATATACAGCAGCTCGCTCCATTGTACAATACGCGTGTGAAATATATCGACTAAGAATGTAGGATATTCGTAGGTTACTAGTATTCGATCAACACTGTGTTCGAAAGCATTGTTCAGATATCCTGGTACCATCGAGGAAGTAATGCATAGATCAGAAATAAAGTGCTCAGTAAGGATGGTAGAACAGTTTATAAAGTAGTGCATCTTCATCGTTTGAGGTATTTATAGTCTGTGTTTAGAATGTCTAATCACCAACTGCCTCGGCAAGCGGTGTTGTCTAATGTAAGGGTAGGCGGGACGGTTTGGGCATCGGATCAAAACATGGTAGAAATAGATGAAGCCACTAACTATTGGACTCAGCCATGTTAGTAGGTGTAGACTGACCTGGCTGGGGTCCGCGAGACAGTCATAACCGGTGGTTAGAGATTTTGAATGACATGGCTTTAATTCGTTTGCAATGGTGCAGGTGCATCTATTCTTTGTGTTATTTTAAATAAAAATATTCTGAATTCCTACTGACCCTTCGTTTTCACTTTTTAAATCTACCTCACTGGGTCATAAGTGTCGAATGATCCAATCGATCCGTAACCTTATCCATTACTGCTAATATTGCTACAACCTCTACTACTATGGGATTTTACCCAACAACTCCATCTGTATGTGCTAATGTGGTTTGGCAACTTGAATTGATCTACATACGTACCAAGTTCTACATTGTAGTTGACTAACTGACTGATTCGAAAAATCGATTAAGATTTACTTGGTTGTCTCAATACATAAAATAAAAAAAGACACTAACTGAAACGTTACCATTACTAATGAAATATATATATATATATATATATATATATATATATATATATATTTATATATAAGTGAATCACTTACCTTACTACAACCTAAATACAAATGCATACGACGATTTAATGTTGGTAAATGTTCAAGATTATAATTTTTCATACGATTTAATTCTAATTGAAAAGCCAATGCTGGTTCTAAATGTCGATAAACTCTATCTTCACGATAATTATCACGTGCACGAAAAGTATACAGCCGTGGAAATTCTCGCTGAAATTTTTAATTATTTAATAAATAAGTGAATATTAGCTAGCAATAACAAAAATATAGACAAGGGTTAAACTAAAGTGAATACGAAAATGATGTCAACAAAAATCTTGATTGAACTCCATGTACAGCAGTCACATAGTTTATAGACTCAGTATTATTAAACGTGAGATATATATGTGTATCACTACAGAGAGATAACAGCAATTAGGTCTACAGATTATGAGGGGTGAATTAAAACAAAGAATAAATTCATTGCATAAACGGTACAAACCGATTTTCAAGTTAAGGATTAACAAGAAGGCAAAGTGTTAATGCATTAGCGACATTTTGACGGGTTCTGAACCGTAACTCTTGGTCCTAATAATCACGCAGATCTCAATCAAATGATTTGCATTCACCTGGCTAATGACTCAGACAAACAGTTGGTGACTTAATAAAATGATGCTATGTGTCGTAAGTTTGACCTTGTCCTAATTTACAACCTATCTGTAACAAGTTAACTTTGCTCATTGAGCATAGGCAGCTGACTAGCATTCTCCACCCTATTCTGTCCTGTGTCTCCTTTTCCAGTTCTGTTTAATTTTTGTTCATTCTTCTTATGTCTGTCTCCATTTCTCGGCGTAATGCGTTTTTTGATCGTCCCCTTCTCCTTCGACCTTGAGGATTCCAGGTGGGAGCTTGTCTTGTGACGCAGTTGGATGCTTTCCTGATTGTGTGGCCTATCCATTTCCAGAGCTTCTTCTTGATCTCTTCCTGAGATGGAATCTGGTTTGTTTCTTCCCACAGTCGGTTGTTGCTAATGGTGTTTGGTCAGCGAATCCGAAGTATTTTGCGTAGACACTTGCTAGTGAACAATTGTATCTTCCGAATGATGGCTTTCGTGGTTTTCCAAGTTTCCGCCCAACACAGTAAAACAGTCTTGACATTTGTATTGACACTTCTGACTTTCGTGTTGGTTGATAGTTATTCTGAGTTCTAGAAATGCAACCCTTGCTTTGCTGATCCGCTCTTTCTTGACACCTTAAGTCTAAACTCAGCATTGTCCACTTGGTATATAAACAACTTACGAATCCATATTTTGATATCAGTTACCCATACTCCGAGAGTCCCTTTATTCTATTTTCAAATAATTGAACGATTTTCAACTATGAACCTGTCATACATCGAATCTAAAAGATCATGACACATTGAAGCCACTTAGTAGAAATCCATTGGTCTGCAGATTTCTACTTCCAATTAATTGCTCATTATTGTGTAACAGTCATAGAATACCATTGCTGGTATCAAACCCAGATAATAAAAAAACTGACTATAATCCAAAGTTACACACCAAAACAACAAAACTTACTGTTTTAACAACTAAAAAAGTAATTCTACGAATTCCAGATGCTCTTAATTGATCAACATGACGAGAACAGAATTCTTCTAATTGTGTCACATCACTTGTTTCATTGATCATTGAATCAGGTGGTAGTAATGATGAATTATTAGTGAATCCAGTTGTTTTTGATTTAGAAGGTACTACTGATGTTTCATCATTCAATGATGTGGATGATGCTGATGACATCCGATTAGGTTGCACATATCTGTCAGTTGATTGACGTAGAGCAATATTTAATATATGTATTGGTTCTCCTTGAGGATCAGTCTGATGCAAAAAGAGAATTATTGACGATTGAAACATGGGAAAATAAGAAGCGTAAAATAAGCATAATGGCTAGAAGTGTAATAAACAACACACGTTTTGTGCCATCTACGACTAGTCAACTGGATGCACCTGCATTTCAGAGTTAATGTTCAACAATTTCATCTCTGTGCTAATGTGATAATGGCAACTTGAACTGATTTACGTATGTACGAAGTTCTACGTTGGTGCTGAATGATTAGCTGACTAACTTCATTGATATATATGATTGATCAGAAAGGTGCACAAAGGCAGAATTCAATTTAGGCGCAGAAAAAAATGGTACATATCTTATTTCTTTTGAAAAATATATAATATCCTCAACAGACTAATATTAGACTTAAGGATAATAATCCTAATTATAGATTAGAGCAGCATGTAAAAAGATATTATTCACGAAGTATAATATAGGGAAATAAATTTAAAAAGAGAGAGACAGAGGCTATGAGTAATTCGGAAGATTAGAATTTGAGAGAACATAAAGAATAGATTCACCTGTACCATTGCGAACTATGTGGAGCTGTGTTATTCAACGTCTCTGACAATAAGTTACTACACTTTTGTGAGCGCCAACCAAGTAGTCTACATCCATTAAAATGGCTCAGTCAACCTGTCAGTGACTTCATGAATTTGTGCCATGTTTTGATTTGGCCACCTCTAGCTTTCTTTCAGCCTACCCCTACAACACAACATTGCTCGATGAGGCAATCGGTGATTAGACATTCGCCAAACATGTACCAACCACCTTAAATGACGAACATTGACTACGTCACCAACTGATTTGTCAGGCTCACGCAGTACTCTTTTCATAACCCTAGCATCGCTTCCAATGTTAGTCTAACATTAATTAACTTATAATTTCAACTGCTAAAAAGGGAGCACATTTCTTATAAAGTATACATACGAAAAAGATCAAAAAAACTGTCACAGATTAATTAGCTGGTTAAATTATTCAAATTTATCAATTGACAAAAGGCAACATCTTAGACATAAAAGCACACAATGATGACATAGTGTGGCGTCAAAGAAATATTGTTTCCAATTCTTTAAAAAAAAACACTGTTATGCAAACGTGTTAAATAGCTCAAACGAAAAAAAAAAACACACGCACAAAAGAAACAAGAGAGATTGATTAAGTTAAACATTTTCCACATTGAGAATTCATTCAGTAAAGAAAATTATTTATATTACTGATGAATTGTAAACATATGAAAATTTAATGAAAATGGCCATCATGATAAGCGAACACTTCTCAGTATAGATTAGTAAAGAATAAAGGAGATATTTGAATTTATAAATTCTCTATAAACACGTACTGTGGTGTGTGCTACTTATGCGAATGATATAAGTATTATAAGAATGGACGTGAAAGAAGAAGTCTCACGGTCAGAAGAGGAAAACGGAAAGCAAATAGAGCAAAAGCAAGAAATAAATAGAGCACCGACAGGAAGTAAAGGAAGTAACAGCAGGAATGGAAGAAGGCTGGAGCGTTGGAAGTCAGGACTCAAAGATGGTGTGCAAATAGAGTGTTCAACGTGATGTTTTCGTTTTTAGTTGACTAAGAGTGTAAATTTGCCAATTACAATCTATCGAGCCTGCCTCAGTCTTCTCAGTACTATCGACGTAAATCTACTTAAAATTGCAACCGAAATTGTATGCGAACAGTTTATGTGATTACTGTCAATATCATGGTTTCGACTGTCTTCATAGTTCTGTATGTTCCCACATGTGTTACAGTAATCGAAATCTAATCCAGATCAGATTAAATTGTAACGTGAAAACATTTCCTAACATAAACTTATTTTAAAATGACTTTCGAATAGAGAAATAAGAAGACATATTTTGTGAGATAGTACCATTTCGTGCTTTCTCGTCAGTCACATACAAGCAACATGTTATTTGTGTAAATACAGTTTTGAAGATAAGGTCAAAATCTCTTATTTAGCATGATATATTCACTCAATAGAACCATGGTAAACAAAGGTCAACATACAGTTGTTTTTGAACACATAAAGTTGGACTTTTCCGACCAATCAAGATAGCTTCGAGTAGTTTCAGTGTGTGTGGGTTTTGATGACATGTCACAACTCATACGGCTGATTTTGGGTCAATTTGATGACCACTCATCATTAGATGCTTTGCAATCGACAAGGCTGGGTTTCTTGATCGATTTTGAGATCACGGGCTAGGTTGATGAATCTTGGATTTGATTAACCATTTTGGAATATGTTCCCCTATCCTGTCCTCCAATCGGCGATCTGTCCTCCCTAAGTAACTTTCTCCGCAGTTACATGTGAATTGGTAAATACAGTTGAATTTGGACTGAATCGGTCTTAAGGACTTGATTGGGGTAACTGAGATCGATTGAGTTGTTGTGATAAGCCTCAGATTAGCTGCATTGAAGGTCTTTTTTATTGCAGCTGCAGTCTGTTTGGTTGTAATATTCATACAGTTGAAAGGTAACTAACTGTAGGTACACTGGTTTGTTGGGCACATCAGTTGCTATCAGCTTCGTCACAGTTGTGTTCTGATGACCAATAAACGTTTCGGGATATCCGTTTAATTTAAGTGTCTCAGTAATAAGCTTGAATTCGTCGTTCAATGTATCAGCAGTGCAGATTCTACTTGCTCGAGCGAATAAAGTTTTGACAACAGAACGTTTATATTGTATGGGGCAGAAACTAGTGAAGTGGAGGTACTGTCCCGACCAGGTGGGTTTGCGGTGTATTTTTCGTCTTCAAAACTGTATTTACACAAATAACATGTTGTTTGTATGTGACTGACGAGAAAGCACGAAATGGTACTATCTCACAAAATATGTCTTCTTATTTCTCTATTCAAATTTATCAAAGGGAACCACTGTTTTGAAAATGACTTTCATTCACGTATTAGAAAAAACAAAACAAAACACCATACTCTTTCATTTTTATAATTGTGCCTTTGACCTTAATAAGTGATTGTGTATTTGGGTGTACCTATGATGACCGATTAGTATAAACCGCTGTACCCAACAAGTTTCACTTATGATACACATGTATAGTAAAAATCTGGTACATTTAAAACACAACTTTACGGATAAAGTTTTCCATAGTCAAATGCTTGCTGTTTTATGTGAATAAGGTTTGCGTATTGTAGAATTGCAATGGACAAGATGTTAAGTCATTATGAGTAAAATTTCATGATAATGACGGTCAATAACTAAACATTAAAATCATTGAGATGACGGTTCAATGGTAGAATTCCAACTTTAATAGTTAGATGACCATCCAACTCCACTGATGACACAACGGTTCCATTTTTCATACGTTTGAGTTTTCTACTAAAAGTAAAGGAGAATTTTTTTTGAAGAAACTATTAGTGAACTAATAATTGCAGCTTTAGAAGCCTGGAAGTACTGGACGGCCGTTTTGTCCTGTTATGGGACTAATAAGCAACATGCATCCATGATTGCGGCGACTCGCGGGATTTGAACCTAAGACCTTCGGTCTTGCGCACGAACTCCTAACCTCTGGAAAACTGAACAAGCATTTAACAGTGTTAATGTCTAACTTCGATCAATCCACGGTGTTGCGCAACCTTATCCACTGTTGTCGGTCAATTCACGCTTTGGAAAATTAACTCAACAATCTTCACACACCGTCTCATGAAATTCACAGCTTTAGTTGACCAATGTATGAAATAATCACACACAAAAAACAAGAATGAAAGTGTGCACACGTGTACAAAACAGAGCAATCAGAAGGTAAAGCTGGTTAGTTAGAAGTGAGTGACTATGTCAGTAGTAGTAATATTAGTAGTAGTAGTAGTATCAAATTATTCAGTACTAGTTACCTTGTTGAAGTTTTTGGAGTACTGTTAAAAGAAAAAATCATAATTAATTATTCAGAATGTTCACAGAAAAAGAAAACGTGACATGAAATAACCAAAGTGTGATATACATGTGTATAAAACTCCGCCTGGAGCGATTCTACGGTTACTGCCAGTCCGATGACCGAATAAAGGAGGAGGATTAAGCATGGAGTTAGCGATCCCATCCCGTCGAAAACTAACTCGCTAACAAAACGCTAACAAGAAGAAATAATTCTTCGGAAATCACAAGACAGATATCCCTTATGAAAACCAGAACAACCATACTCTTAGGTACAAGGAATGTCCATACAATGTGGGAGACTGGAAGAGTCAACCAAACTGCTGCAGAAATGAAAAGATACGACGTGGAGGTGCTTAGGATAATAAACACGCATTGGACACCAGTTGGACAACTGACTAGCTTCAGGGGAGTTGCTGTTATGCTCCGGCCATGAAGAGAAGAAAATGCCTCACACACAAGGAGTTGCACTGATGTTACCCAAACAAGCACAAAAAGCACACAATGGATGAGAATCTAATGGATCCAGGATCACCAAAGAATCCTTCGAAACAAAGAAAAAAGGGATTACAATCAACGTCATCTGGTGTTATGTGCGTAACAATGATAACAACGAAGACGTTAAACATCAATTCTATGAGATACTATAATTATTCGTTGAGAAATGCCCAACAAATGACTTGGCTATTTTGGTAGGAGACCTAAATGCCAAGGTTGGGATGGAGTACACCGGATATGAAGACGTCGTAGGACATACATTGAAGGAAATATCCGACTGCGTCACAAGTCAAGCCTTCACACTTGGAATCCTCCAGAATAAAGCAAAATAAGAAGACCAAAGAACATATTACCCCAAGAAATTGGAGACGGACATGAGAAGAATGAACAACAAATGGACCGAATTAGGAATAAAGGTCAAGGACAGAGGATATTGAAGAATGCTGGTTGGCGGCCATTGCTTCATTGAGGGTAACAGGCGTGAGTAAGTCAAGTGATTATTCACATATCTTTTAACCCAGTTCATTTTCCAGTTACAAAGTAGGTAGTTTGAATTCGAGTGTATGCATGCATCGTTGAACTCAATTATCACTTGTCTAGACTACTTTTGTCAGACTATAAATAATTAATCTTGTCTTATTGAATTGAGTATACCCATTCAACCTTCAATGAGTTGCTTCACTTTGCTTTTTTCGCTTCTTATGATCATCTGTAAGTCCAAACGATCGCATGAAATAAATTCATTGAACTCAATTCCGTATTAGGTTTGTTTTATTATTAACGTTGGTGCACAGACGGGGATCACTTAAATGTAATATTGGGAAATTCGATAGAAGATGTGAATTCATGGCAAATTTAGTTGTTCACTTCAATTGTAGTAAAATATTGGGCCACTGAATATATATATATATATATATATATATATATATATATACCTGTGTACGCAAACTTGAATAACGTCACTGATCATTAAGTATTTACTGTACAAAAACACAAATCGTTGCAATAATGATATATTCAGTAAAATGTAAGCTTGTAATACTGACTATTTAGTCGAATTGCAGACTTGGACTTTGTAAGAAATCAAAATGAAATATGAAGAGAGTTAGCTTATGTCTAAAAACTGAAAAGGCATCAACAGAAGTAGAGCTGAACTTGGAGCATGAGAAAACGCCAAGAAATTGCCAAAATTGGTGATTACAATAGTAATGTTATGGAAAATTGCCATTATTTGGCTTCTGAAATCTTTATATGATTTCTCAAGACTACTGAGTCGATGAAAGTAAATCTAGACGATTTCTTCTAACTTTTTGAAGATTTTTCGATTAATTTAGGGGATTTGTAGAGATTGTATTATTTTCACAGTTGAAACCAAAAACTGATCTACGCTAGACCACCATTAGAAACCTGGATGGCTATTTAAATTTATTATGAGACTCCTCAGCAGTGCACACCCACAACCTCGCGATTGAGACCAAGACCAGTACCTTTGATCTTGCGCGGGAACGATTGAGCTCTTGATCACTGAGACAGTATCAAACGGAGTTTACGTTTAACTAAAGTCAATATATGATGTTCATCCACCACATGTGGCGGATAATCGTCTCCTATCCGACAGGAAATGGACTCCACTAGTGACGACTTAGATGCCCACTCAGTTGTCTAGAGGTTAAGCGTTCGCGCACGAATTTGAATGTCCTGGCTTTAGTCCCACCCACAGGGTCATGGATGCACACTGCTTTAAGACACAAGTGTCTTGTTAGTGTATAAAGTGACGTTTTGAAAAGAAGTTCATGAACAAAGAAAACGGTCTACTTTTAACTGAATTTTTCTAAAACGGCTTTCATATTAGAAACAGGAAAATTACTCAAGTTCTCATTTTGTTGTTTTTAGTAGTCTTTTTTTCTTTAAAACTGATAAAAAAAATTTTAAAAAATGTTGAAAAATATATTGAGGGAAAAAATACAGAGATAGATAGGAGATGATATGTAATTACTTTGACATAATATAAAATATGATGTGTTTTTAAATATAACATAAAATTCATTGAAAAATCATAAATTAAACCATTGTTAGACCACCACAAGAAACATGGAAGCCACGGACGGCGATTTTGTCCTAGTGTTGAACTCATCAACAGTGTGCAAACGAAACACTCACTTACAAAGTTGTTCATTAGTAACTAGCTTCATGGAGGAATACTCGAAGGTCTAGTGAGAAGCCGTGATCATTGGAGTTCAAAAACCTGTCGAATGTAAGCAGTTGCCCAACGAAAACAATGGGCGAGTATGTGGGGTGAGGTTGAATAGATCAGAGTTAGATATTGACACCGTTAGATGCCGGCTCAGTTGCCAAGGGATCAGGGGGTTCGCACGCGAGACCGAAGGCACTGAGTTCGACTCCATGTTTCTAATGGTGATTCAACATTGATCGATTCATGATTTCAATGAAAAAAAAGACAATCTTCACAACTGTAGTAAATAAAAATAACATATATTATCAACATTACTTACTGTTTGATAAGGTGGATCTTGAAAACTGATTAATTTTGCTTCATTATTTGCAATTTTATGATTTTGTGATTTTTGACAAACAACATTCGATGTGAATTGATGCGAATAGTTAAATATCGGTTCAGATAATGAAGTATGCATACTTTCAGATTCTTTACAAGCTGAATTAAATAATCGGATTAATTCATCGAAAGATCTAAGCAAAAAAATTGAAAAAAACACCAGGATACAATAGAGTCACTGATGATTTGTAGGATGTATTAAAACGTTTTTATTAAATATATATATATCAATCTACTGTGAGAGAGAACAAACTGGATTCTAGCAGACGAAGAAATCAGGAAGAAGCGCTGGAAGTGGATAAGATGCACATTGAGGAAAGCACCCAACTGGAATCCTCAAGGCCTAAAGAAATGAGGAAGACCAGAAACCACATTACTCTGAGAAACGAAGCAGTTGGATAGAGCTGGAAAGGAAGGCCCAGGACGGACTAGGTTGATGGGCGGTCAATGCTTCATTAGGGGCAACAGGAACAAGTAAGTAATTAAATATACATAGAAGGAATTTATATTTCGTTAAAATGAGCATTCACCGATTGAGACCTAAATCATTCAGAAAATAAGATAATTAATATACACAGATCCAAGTTTTCGTACAATAACAGTATGAAGTGGCCAAAATAATCGGAAAGACAAGCGAATGAATCACGATAATATATAGTGGTGATAGCAAACAGAAAGATTACTCTTCAAGCAAAAAGTTCAAGATGAAACAGTAAAAAGGTTAGTGTGAAGAAATACTCAAATGCGAAACTTCGAAGAAGATCAGCATTGGATATATTTGTACTATGGTGACAGATTTGAGTTCATGCTATTTAACATTTCCAACTACTGATCGAGATTATCGCATGGAATATAACTAGTAAGATGACATCTATCGACATGAACTGTAACAGCATCCAATAAATTCATAGGCTAATTCTACATTCTAACTACTTTCTCACTAATTTCTATACCAGCGAACATTAATTACCAAAGTAGACGGTGATAAGGCATTCATAACACATTTTCTAACTACTTCCGTCGACGGACAATCACAAAATAAATAAAGGATTTGTAAGTTTTTTTTACTCGATTGTTGTACGACAGTCGAACTATTATGCTCAGTGAGTCAGATACGATCTTGGTCTTCTAGAAGTATCTGGAGCAACACTTAGATAGTAACAGTAAAAGTAAATATCTGATCGAAACCGTGATATGTGCTTAGTTTTCAATCGCTCCTCTGTGAAGCTTCTATTCAATGCTAACGGGAAAAAATGTTGCTTGGCATTTCTGAGACTCGTACTCGTAAACAGTTGTGAGGAAATCTATGATCAAAATCTTGGATTCTGCTCATGTCTTCTGTTTTCTTGGACTACACCATTAATGAAAAACAGAAATACGGAGCGGAGAACCGCACATTATACACTATTTTAGTGGTCAGGGATATGACTTTAATTTAGACGAATAATTAGATATACTATGAAATAAATCTTTCGTCTAACTTCCGTAAATCATTCTTAGGCAAACCCTATTTTTGCGACTCCGGTTGGTGGCCTGTGCTCTTTTGTTATTGTGCCGATTTCGAGGTGTTCTTAAGTTTCGTAATTAACTCGTTCATACAATCGTCGCCAAGTAGCGCCTGACGGTTTATAAATCAGAAGATGAATTCGAAGTATTGAATACGTTTATTGTGGCACACCACAAAAAAGGATAGCAGACCACAAGCAGAACGAGCAGACACATTAACGAGCGAATATGCGAATGGGCGAATGAATTAATAAGATTAAAATGTTCGTATATAAACAAATAAAGATATCTGAGTCATCGTGATATTTAAGAGATTAATATTAAAGCAAATAGGGTGCATATGCACGTAGGCGTTAATCAATGCTCAGTCATACAAGCTCATACAAACCACACAATAATAAAAGCCAATGGTACATATAAGTTGTTGCTACGCGAATGGCTTGGTTAAATAAATTAATCGAAAGGGCTTAACCAAATTAAATGTAAGCGGATGCAAATAAATGTGGAGGCACTACACTCTACTAGGAGTAACAGGGGTAAGTAAGTAAGTGGATTTGTAAGACGGCGGTAACTGAAAGCCCAATACAGTTTATTTTCAATGAATTTATTTTATTTATCCGAGTAAACAGACAGATAGCAAAGCGAAGCGTAAAAACGAAGCGGATAAGGTAAATGGTCAACTCTGTGTAATGAGTCAGACAAAAATAAGCTGAACATGTGATAAGTCAAGCAAGCAGTGTACATACGCACACAAGTAGAAACAACAAAGGTAATAAGCGAATGATTGACAGGCTAAAAAGATATGTGAATAGTAACTCTAGAGGAAGAATGGATTAAGTGATTTGTCAATAGGCTGGGACAACTGGGAAAAACTTATTGAAAATGTTTATCAATTATAAAAATCGTCTTTTGAAATCAAAATAATTTTTGGTGAATAGTTTTGTGTATTTTCTGGAAAACCTTTTGAAATCGACAACCAACTTTCTACCTAATTTATATTCAGGTGATAAAATTATTCATACACTAACTATCCTACTATAATTATCTCCACTTAAACGATTTATAGTGCAAACATATGTACTAAGAAAAAAGATCAACTTTGTGAATGAATCGTGAAACATTTTCGGTTTCAAATTGATTGACAGAATATTCTGATGTTTTTAAAACAAAATACAGCGAATGTAAAAGGATGAGCGTTCACGCGCAAGACCGAAGATCATGGATTCGAATGCTGTGAGTAGAGGAGTCGTCGATGAGCATTGCCGTCCAATGATGGTCTAACAATGATTCATTCATTATTTCAAGGTAAAAAAAAGAATTTAAAAGTCCTAAAGGCATTATGAGTTTTATTAAGACTCCGAGTTCATCTTGTTCTAATTAATGCTAAACCATTGTCAAAAGATTTTTACTGAATACCTCCAACTATTTTAATCCAATGAACGGAATATTAGAGTAATTATCAGAGTGTAACTTGATAAATAACAATCATTAGAGGATTCGAACGAGTTGCACACTTCTGATAAGTCCCATACTAGGACGAAACGGCCGTTTAATTGTTCCAGGTTAATAACGGTAGTCTAATAATGATTTCAATGTGTATGAAGAAAATAGTTTGTCACAACAACAACAACAAAAAATCTAAACCAAAAATTTAAGATATGACGACTTACTCTTCTAAATCTTTTAATGAATTAAATGCGGTCATACCACCCATACGTTCACCAGACAATGGAGTAGTATCCATATCAATCATACTTTGAAAACCATTCAGAGATAATTTGAGATTATTATTATTATTACTATTAATATTGTTAGTAGTATAGTTTTGTGCATTAGAATTCATTGCGTTGAATGACAATGAAGAGTTGTTAAGAATTTGAACATTTTCAACGATTGGGGAATGAATAGAATGTTCTAAATTATTAGATTTTTGAGAATTCAATTTTTCGCAATCCGAAGGACGTCTATTGACAACTGACGAACTGAAATTATGCGGGAAAAAACATAAAACGAAAAAAAACATCATTTCGTGAAAAAAGTATAATAGATAAGATAGATAGAAAGTGGCTAGGAGTGAAATATAGATCACCGTGTTTAGGATTCATCAACTGAAGGTGTAATGTGAAAGGTATAGAAAACCTATATGGTAGAGTTGGAAAACCCCCAGTTCACAACAATAGTACACATAGGCTCTAGTGTCCTGGAGGGAAAAAAAAGGCGTATTAACCATTTGTGGGTCATAGGCTTGCGTCAGACTACATCTTACGTAGCTTCATTGCCTAGTAGACTGATTCTGTTGATCAAAGACTTAGGCAATAGCCCCACAAGAAAACCGCCTGCTTCCGTTTGGTCATCCGGACAGTAACATAGCCCACTTACAATGTCAATGATTTATGATTATCGATTTTTAAAAATATTTATTTTGACATGAGATAATTTGCACTAACCTCGAAACAAATCCATTTGGTAGTATAAATCTAAATGTAAAAAATGAGCTACCACCAGATAATTGAAAATGATGAACACCGGTTAATTCATATGCTGTATAGGAACGTCTAATGTAAACCTTGAGAAAATACAAAAAAAACAGAAAATTCCAAGTGTAATGAGAAACACAAAATTCGATTGTAAATAGTGATAATCGCCAGAATGAGGAAGTAGGGAGTTTAACTAACCCATAAATCGTAGTCAGAATACAATTTTTACTGAGTGAGGAGAATTTCAAATTTGACTTGATGGTGATTAAGATGAAATGAGAAACATTTGTTCTAAAAAAAGCGAACTACTTGTTAGTAGTATAAAAATTTAGAGATAATTTTGAAGAGCACGATTTTGTATGTATAACGCATTAGAATGTGATTCAGTAGAACTTTAAACGACGTCATCATGGTAAGAATTTGTTAATCATTTCCTAAAGCGAGAATCATGTGACCAACATTTTTGTAAAGAAGAGTTACAAAAAAATAAATCAGCAAGCATCAAATGGACACACAAATTTCAACTACGAAGATTAATGATGAAGGCAACACCGTTGTAGGACATTTTATTATTAGGATAAAGATGACAAGGTTACATTCATTCAATACAAGAAAACATGAACACAAACGAAACATAACAAACATGAACTAATAAAACTCATGAAATGGATTGGAGAATCAATGGATGGTTTAGTGTGAACAGTGAATAGAGCGAGCCTATGCAAATGCTATCCGGAAATAGGTTGATTGTTTCAAATAGATCACGTGAATTTCATTGGAAATCAATACTTTGAATGTGGTTGTCCAATAAAAAGTAGGAAATTTCTTTCTGAACAAGATTTTAATTTATGATAGCAACATTATGAAAGTAAAAAAAGTGAGGAACATTTTGAAGCATTTTATGGTCAGTCATAATATCATATAATGGTCAAAAAATTTAAGTAAATAAATGATGACAAGAAGTGTCTATTTTTAAATAATGTGTTTATCTGATGGATTGGCAAAGCAAGGGCAGAATTTCTTCAATTGAAGAATGTCTAGAACTCGAAACAACTATTAACCAACATTCAAGTCAAAATTTTCAATACAGATGTTAAGACAATTCTACTGTAAGGGTCGGAAACTTGGAGAACCACGAAAGCCATCATCTAGAAGAAACGAGTGTTTGTTAACAGTAGTCCACACAACATACTTCCAATTCGTCGGCCAAACACCATCAGCTACAACCTACTATGGTAAAGAACAAACCAGATTCCAGCTGAGCAAGAAACTAGGAAGAAGCGATCGAGGTTGATAGAACATAGATTGGGGAATTAATCTCACTGTGTCAGAAGCCAAGCCGAAATTTTGGATCCTCAATGCCAAAAATAAAAGAGACAGTCTAATGAATACATCTGACCGACAATTGGAAGCAGATATGAAAAGAAGGAATAGCAGTTAAGTAGAATTTTAAAGGAAGAGCCAGGACACAAATAGTTGGAGAATGCTGGTCGGCGACGTATGCTCCACTGGGGGGCAACATGCGTAAGTAACAACTAAGTCGCAGTATATATAAATTATGTTGTAATAATTTAAATTTGTGGATTGAATTTCGCACTGTTATCAAATATAAGACATTGAATTAAGCGCATCAAATAGGTCAGTAAATATGGAGTGTCCTCTCAGGGGAGTTCGAAAACCCTGATGCACATCAATTCCAGGATCCTGATCAAACTAATGGTGTATGAAATTGTTGTTGGTCACTGGCTTCTAAAGGAATGCAACTAATAACGTTGCTCCACTGCTTTGTGGATTAGACATTTAAGTCAAACGCTCATAAAGTAGCCATCAAAGAAACCTATCAGCTTTGGTCTAAGCAGCCGGGCAGTATCCCAGCCCAAACAGGAATTCAGTGATTTGTATGGTGCATCAATACATTGGTGCTTGTTCCATTCTAATGTTCATGTGTTTGTGTGGAAAAAATTATTATTATCATCTTAATTACTATAACGTTTATACTGCTAACGATCCACCTAGAGAGAGAGAGAGAGAGTGGGAAACACTAATTTTTTCTCTCCACTTACCTCTAATGCAGCACTAGCTACAGCTTGATTAGGATGATAGAAGAAATCAGTTAAAATATCAAATACAACAGTTTCTGAATTAATTAACTGTAATAATAATTCCGGATGAACTTGTTGACCGAATGTATCGACTGCAGACAAGAATATTGATTCAACCTATGAAAATAAATAAGTAAATTAAGAAGAAAAGTAAATTACATCTTACAAAATTTGGCAATTTTATTTTACGAGAACAGATTGACAAATCAACTAGTTTTTGCGATGATATTGATAATTATATATATATATATGATAGTAGATTATTATTATAACAGATATTTTAATGATAAATCGATCTACATTCGACCAATATGTTAGAAACGTGGAAGTACTGGACGGCCGTTGCATCCAAGTATCGAACTCATCAATAGTGCGTGCGCTTCCACCACTCTTTCTACACGCAAGAATCGAACCCAGAATCTTCGGTCTAGCGAGCGAACGCTTCAACTCTTCACCAACAGCCAGACAGACAGACAGATATGATTCTGACCAATTTGGTCTCGTGTGCTGGTACGGGTATGAGGGCGGTTGTCACTTCCCGGCTGCCCACACCGTGGAAGGTTGTTTCTTGAGGGACCTGAAAATCAAGGTAGATTAGCGTTGGTCTTAGAGACATGAAAGCGTGACCGCAGAGCCCAAGGGACAACTGCTTGATGCCGGTCACGCACGGCCTTTTTATGAAAGGTATTTAGAGTATTAGCTCCGATCTTGAAAGCCCTTAGTGGGCACCCTTACCACCGGAGACGGAAATCCGTGAGGTAGGGTGAGGTGTGACATTTCTAGGGTCGACCTTTTCTAACCCTTCCTTCCTTGTGAGAAGGCAGCATCGCTGCAGATGCTGGTTGTCCGAGGGAAACACCTTACTGCTGTCACACCCCTCTGTAGTCAGCAGTACGACTTCGCCCTCAGACTTTGGGTAGCTGCTTTTAGTCTCATCGTTCTCCAATCGACCTGCCTGGAATGATAGAACCTTCAGGAACATATGTTCCAGCCAGTATAGCTCGGCTGAGTCATCATGATAGACAAGCCCGACCACCACGTCAAGGTAGCAGCTACGGTCGGGACTCATCACCAACAATTTTAATCAACCCACTGTCTTGCGCTACCTGATTCACCATTTTCAGGCAGGAACTACTGCTTCACACTACAATAGGGTTGAATTCCACTGATCATAGTTACTCACTAGAACTCAGACAAATTTCCTCAGATAGCTTGGTGATTAGGTGAACACATTTTTACAATTTACATTATACAGTTGAGTAGATTGTTGATTTTCACAAAAAAAAATACTCGTAACGTGTTGTTTTTTTGTTAATTAAAAAGAAAGTATCAATAGAATTCAGTTAAATTTATATTGATTAACAAGATTTATTTATTGATATAATTGTGCATGTATTCCCAAATATTTTTATTTACAAGTAGAATTATGAATGTGATTTAATGATAATATTTACATAATAAGCATGATAATAATCATCATCATAATAATGGGTGGGTAACTTTGTTTCGAATACGAATTAATTTCAATGAGATCCTCGTTAAATTGATCAGACACATAGAGTTCGGTTTTAATGTAGTTGTTCTACACTAAACTAGATAATTTGATTAAAAGCATTTTCATTGTATACAAGTGTTGCATTTTGTAGTTTAGCGAAATTTAGACATTTTAGTTTTATTTTGATGAATAGCATGAATAGGAAAAAAATGTTCATGCAATTGAAGAAAGAAAGAAAGAAGGAAAGAGAAATGATCTACCATTTGTACAAAATGGAAGAGTGCGATATTTTCATTTAGGAAAACCAGTTAGTTAGTTAATTACGCCTGTTACCCCCAACAAAGCATAGGCCGCCCACCAGTTTTCTCCTGGGCTTCCTTCTCCAGTTCTGTCCAATGTTTGTTCATTCCTCTCATATCTTTCTCTATTTCTCGGCGTAATGTATTCTTTGGCTTGCCTCTTTTCCTTTTGCCTTGAGGGTTCCATGTGAGGGCTTGTCTCGTGACGCAGTTAGGTGCTTTTCGTAGTGTGTGTCCTATCCACTTCCACCGCTTCTTCCTCATTTTCTCCTCCACTGGTTTGTTCTCTCCCACAATTCGTTGTTGCTGATGGTGTCTGGCCAACGAATACGAAGTATTTTGCGTATACAACTGTTAATAAACACTTGTATCTTCTGGATGATGGCTATCGTAGTTCTCCATGTTTCCGCTCCATACAGTAGAACTGTCTTGACATTTGTATTGAAAATCCTGATTTTGGTTTTGATTGAAAGTTGTTTGTAGTTCCAGATATTTTTCAACTGTAGAAATGCAGTCCTTGCTTTGCCAATCCGCGCCCTCACATCTACATCCGATCCACCTTTCTCGTCGATAATGCTGCCCAGATATGTAAAGTTGTTAACGTCCTCGAAAGCATCTCCATCAAGAGTGATTTGGTTGGTGCATGTTGTGTTGCATCGGAGAATTTCGCTTTTTCCTTTATGTATGTTGAGACCTACTGTTGCAGAGGCTGCTGCTACACTGGTCATCTTCTCTTGCATTTGTTGTTGCGTGTGCGATAGAAGAGCCAAGTCATCTGCGAAGTCCAGATCGTCCAGCCGTGACCTAGCTGTCCATTGAATACCATGCTTCCCTCCAGATGTTGACGTTTTCATAATCCAGTCGATCACCAGGAGAAAGAGAAAGGGTGAGAGTAAGCAACCTTGCCTGACACCGGTCTTCACCTCGAAAGAGTCTGTTAGCTGTCCTTCGTGTACGATTTCGAAGTTGAATCCATCATAAGAGTTCCGTATGATGTTAACTATTTTCTCAGGCTGTATGAAAATATGTCATGGTAAATTTGTAGTTTAAAGAAAGATAAAAAGAATTTAAAAATTTGATCATATCGAATCACATTCAATTATACATTTATATATTTTTATTAGATGGTTGTGAAGAATGTCGAGTTTATAGGAAGTCATAATTCTGTAATGAAAAATGTAATGTGCTCACAATTGATTAGCTTTGTGAGGAAATTTCTCTGAGAAGTCGTGACCAGTGAGTGGAGTTTAATCCTGTCGGGGTGTAAAGCAGCAGCTCTCACTGAAGACAGTGGATGAGGTTGCGTAAGACAGTGCGGGTCGATGAAAGGAAAACATTAAGATCGGTGGATGGCCGGTTTAATAGTCCAGTGGTTACGTGTTGGAGCGCGAAACTGAAGTTCCTGGGTTCGATTCCCACGTGTGGGGGTGGTTTGTGTGCACTACTGATGGGTCTCATACTGTGAAACAAACACGGTCATCCAAGTTGGTCTAACATTGATCGATTCATGATTTCAATTAAAATACAACAATCTTCACAAACATATAATAGAATAAATTTTTAAATGAAAGTTTTGCTTATTTTCAAAGAAAATAAAAATGCCACTGACAGTAATAAGTAATGAACACATCGAATCATCATCATATATAAGTCAGTCAGCAACAACATAGAACTTCGTACATGTGTACATCAGTTCAAGTTGCCATACCACACTAACAAAAGGATAACGAATTATCATTTCAAATACCACAGTAGTAGAGGCAGTGGAAGTATTAACGGTAACAGAGATTAGAGTTCAAAGATATTGTTCAAGAAGTATATCCCAGTGAAATCAACTTAAAAAGACAAAGATGAAGGTGATGAGGAATTCAGAAAATTAGAATCTGAGAGAGGACAAAGAATGGATGAACCTGCACCTCTGCACAGAATTTTGAGCTATGTCATACAAAGTCTCTAACCATCCGTTACTATACTTTTATGAGAGCCAACCAGGTAGTCTACACCCATTAACATGGCTCAGTCCACCTGTCACTGACTTCATGGATTTGTGTCATGTTTTGGTCTGGCTGCCCCTAGCCTTCTTCAACCTACTTCCTACACCACAATACATCGCTCGTTGCAGCAATCGGTAGGTGGGCATACGTAACACATGTCCTAACCCTCTCTACTGATGAAGATGCATTACTCCATCAAATGATTTCATATAAAGTTCATTAAAGAATGAAACAAATATGTGGAATCTATCAATATTATTAGACCAGCGTTAGAAACCTGGAAGCACTGGACACCCGTTTCATCCCTGTATCGGGCTCATTGATAGTACATATCCACGATCCACGCATGTAGGAATCTAAACCAGGACCTTCGGACTTGCGCGCGAACGCTTATAATCTAGACCACTGAACCGGCCGGCATCTAAAGATGTTGATGTCTAACTCCAATCAATCCACGATCTGACGCAAACTCATCCACTGTCTTTAGTGGGCGTCACTTCACACGCCAACAGAGTTCAACTGCACTGGTCATAACTTCTCACAAGAACCAAGAGAAACTTTCGCACGGAGCTAGTCACTAGTAAGCGCATATGATAATATTTTTAGTACAATTATTAATTATAGTGTATTAAGAAAAGAGAAAAAAGACAGAAAAAAAACTTATTGAATTGACCTCAAATTTCGTATTTATCAGTAAATCTTTGTACGTGACTAATTAACTAAATAACTAACTGTGTTGATTGAAAACCAGTTTAGCGGTTACATCTGACCTAAATAAAACACTGAATTTTATGGCTACATTTTAAGTAATCTCCTTGTTCATTGTTACATTGTAACTAATGAATCTTGAAATGGTCGATTAAAATATAAAAAGGCTTTATGTGAACTACAAATGATTTATGAGATTATAATGAAATTATTAATAATTCAAAGTAACGATTTCTGAGTAAACCAAAATGTAAATGTGCTGTAAAAGCATTATAAATATTTTCTCATGATTTTGTGATGAAAATTGAAGGAAAAGTTGATGTGTTAATTCTTTTCTCTCTTGAAATATACACGGTTAGTGTGAATATGAAAGAAGTGATTGAGATTTTATTACAAGCAACAGTGTAATCGTGTGCTATTAGGGGTACAAGAACAGATGTCATTTCCCGGCATCCCATACCGTAAAAAAGGTATTTCTTGAAGTGTTGGTCTCAGAGACCTGGGAGTGTGACCGCAGAGCCCAAGGGACAACTGCCCTAGGTCGGTTACGCATGGCCTTCTCATGCAAAGTTTGTAAAGTGGTAGCTCTGCTCTTCAAATGGCCTTACCGCCGCGAACGGAAATCTGAGGGGTAAGGTACGGTGTGATATATTTGGGGTCAACGTGTTCTAACCCCTTCCTTCCTTTATGAGAAAGCAGCATCGCTGCAGATGCCGATTGTCCGAAGGGAACACATTAGTGAGGTCATACTCCTCTACAGTTACAGTACGACTTCGCCCTTACACCTTAAGTTGCTGAGTTTAGTCTTAACGTTCTCCAGTCGACCCGCCTGGCATCGTAAGACCTAAAGGAACATGTGTTACAGTAAATATAGTTCGGTTGGGTCATCACGGTAGGCAAGCCCGACCACCACGTCAAGATAGCAGCTACAGTCGGGGACCATGTATTAGTATAATATCAAAGCCATTCATACGTTGATCAGTCAGTAGGTTAGTTGCAATATAGATTATGGTACATATGTATATAAGTTCAACTTGTAATGCCTCAATTAGTTTAGAGAGATGAAATTGTCAACCTAGATATCAGAGTTTTGAAGGTAATTACAGTATTAGTAGTAATAGGAGAGATTAACAATTGAATAAAAAATTTAATTAAAATATAAATTAGCGAAACAAATAAAAAGAATTGATGAATTTAGAAACTTAAAAATTTCAGAGACTACAAAGAATAGATGCAGTTTAAGTCATTACAAAACGATTTTGAGCTATTTCATTCAAAGGTTTTAAACACTAGTTCAGTTTATTTGTCAATGACTAGAGTGTAGACTGAAGCCAACGGAAATAGGAATTAAAGTCCTATATATTCAGAATAACATCATTATAATCAGTGTAAAACTATTCATATAGACTGCTCATATATAATTAAGTAGTCAGTTTACTGCACCAAGATGCAGAGATCACATTTTCAAATAGGTTACATTAATATTACGTCCGGAATAATAATACCAGTTAAAGTAGGTGACTAGTAAAGAATGGTCATTAACTAGTCTTGCTTGAATGTTGAAATATTTGAAAAAAAAACGTACAATGTTCAGAAATAAGACAGACAACCCATTTTAAAACAACAGTCAAATATTTTTATTTTTTTAAGGCTTAAACGATAATATATAACATATATATTTTTTTACGATGTCTCAAGGTGAACAAACGTGGCATACTTCTGATGACAAAAATGGTTAATTAGAATTTATAAAATTAATTACAAAATATATATTATTGATTATCGAAATCATGAATCAATCATTGTTAGACCATTATTAGAGACCTGGAGAGGCAGAAGACGGCCGTTTCGTCCTACAGTATGTGACTCATCAGTAGAGCGCATCCACGACTCTCGCCACTCGCAGGATTCGACTCCAGCATCCAACGGTGTTATTGTCTAATCCTGATTAATCTACGGTTTTGAACAACCTCACTCATTGTCTTCAGTAGTTACTGTCGACGCACGACAGGGTGAATGCCACTACTAGTCACGTCTTATCACTAGAAACCAGAGAATTTCCTCACAAAGCTAGGATTTCCATCATGAAGAACAATCTCTATGACTCAAAATCAAAAATCGTACGATGTGCTCATGAGTGACTAGCTTCGTGAAGAATTCTCGGAGTTTTAGTGCGAAGACATGAGCAGTGGATTTCAACCCAGTCAAGTGTAGACAGACAAATAGGTGCGGTTGCGCAAAATCCCTAGATTGATCAGAGTTAGACATTAACACCGTTGGATGCCGGCACAGTGGTTCAGAATTTAAGCATTCGCGTGCAGGACCGAAGGACCTGCGTTCGAATCCTGAGATTTGTAGGAGTTGATGATGAGTCCCGTAACAGGACGAAACGGCTGTACAGTGCTTGCAGGTTTCTGAGGGTGGTCTAATAATTGTTGTTATTAACAACAAAAACAACAATATTCATAACTCTGTAATGAAAAAAACACATACAGTACACACTACTCACCTGATTTCGTCTTAATTCATACGATGGTGTTTGTACTGAAATCAATAATTGACGTGCAGCTAGTGCAACTTTCGAATTTCTTGAACCGCCTAATTCAGTTAAAGCTTTTAAACAATATTGTAAATTCTCAGTCATACATAATTCACGTCGTTCAGCTAATGAATGAATTAAATTGATAATTAATACATTTTTCATTGTTAATTGTCTATGTGAGAATATGACGGAGACAATATCTGTTAAAGAATTTGGTTGAATTAAATTACGAAAATTAAATGGAACTAAATGATAAATTAGATTGTGTAACAGATCATCTGGAATGATGGTATTTTCACTTGGACATATACCAGATTTCGGTGTATTACCCCATAGAGTGGAACCTTGACATTTAGCTAATAAGTGTCGAATACATTTATCATATTGACCTGATAAAAAAAAACAAGAATAGTAATTAGGTAATTATTACACTTTTGTTGACCATTGTATGTTCAATGATACAAAGGTAAGAAAAAATCTATGTTATTTAAACAAATTCTTAGTGATGAACAGATCAAACAAGGAATAGGTACAATACAGTACAATACACAGGATTGATTGATAGTATCTCCAAAAAAATTGAATGGAAAACCTTTTACCTCTAAAAAGTACTTGAAAAAAATACACATCCTGTGATTCTTTATGTCCATATAAAAATCATTCTAAAACTAGGTGGCATCTAATCACACAGAACTAACCAGATTCCAGCTGAGGAACAAATCAGGAAGAGGCGCTGCAAGCGGAAGGGGCACACATGAAAGAAAGCACACCGGTGCATCATAAGACAAGCCCTCACACTTGGAATCCTCAAGACAAAAAGAAAAGAACAAGAGCAAAGAACACATTACATCGAGAAATGGTGACAGACATGAGGAGAATGAACGAAAATTGGACAGAACTAGAAAGGAAGGCCCCGGGACAGAATAGTGTTGGAGAATGCTGGGCGGTGGCCCACACTACATTGCGGGTAACAGGCGTAAGTAAGTAGGTAAGTAAGTAATCTATTCACAGATATAATCCAATAGTTACTACTGGGGTACAGACAAAAACAACTGAATATGTAGTATAGTGCTGATCGAAATCGATCGATTACAATCTGAATCAACTTATATGACTAGATATACTGACTGGCATGTTTTCTTTTAGGAGATTCAATGGTTAAAGACATGCATTGTGAATACAGTTACAGACTGTGGCACATCCCTGATTCTAAAAAAGAATATCAATTCCTGAAGAGTATCAACTAAGTAAGCAATAAGTATTAAGGCATTAATTATATCGATCCTATTCAATGAAAAGAGGATAGTTTATTATTTGATACATTTGTAATATTACAGTATTTTTTTTTGTTCGATTTCGTAATCAATGTGTAAAATTTTGAATTGTCGACACATGTACGATATAGACATTATTCAATAATCATGTTCATATGACAATGCTGTGGTACAGATAATTTATTGTTTGTGATGATATATTGACAGTCTCTAAATTTACATGCATGTAGAGTTATGAAAACATAACTGTTTAAAAATCATTAAAAGCGAGAGAAACAGACAATATATATATAACACACAATTTTGTGAAAGATACAAATAATATGATGTTATCGTAACACTAGTAAAGGGTCAACTTAAACACAATAATATATGTATACATTAAGGGCAAGAATTAAACATTTCGGAGTATGAAAGATTTATTTATAGCCTAAACTTTTTATCAATACTTAGTAGGTAATTTAAGGCATAAAAGAAAACTTTTGAAACGCTGGAAAGAATTTGTAGCTTAAGAGAATGATGATGATTAAGGTGGAATTTCATTCTCTCATTGTTCATTTGAACAACATCATCAGCACAAACTACAGGTAGACATGAAATTATGGAATTTCTCCACGTACATGGACTCGTAGCTTGTCCTGTCCTGATCTCAATCTTGATTGGTTGTTATTGACATTAAACCTATCGTTGTCTGAACCTTTTATTGTCGATGTTGTAGTGCCTCCACATATATTTCAGTTCTCTCACATCTAACTTGGTTAAGCCCTTTCGATTAATTTATTTAACCAAGCCATTTGTAAAACAATAACTTATATGTACCATTGGCTTTTATTATTGTGTGGTTTGTATGCGCTGGTATGATTGAACATTGTTTACACTTGCGCGCATATTCATACTTTTCGCTTTAATGTTAATCTCTTAATATCCTCATGAACTCACATGATTTGTATCGCTTGCTATTGATCTTGTCAATCATTCGTCGCTTTTATTCATGTGTGTGCATATCTATTTCGCTTGTCATATGTCTGTCTTATTCTTATCTGACTATATATTCTTAGTCATACTCTATCTCTTTGAGTTGGCTCACTAGCCTTCTCCTATTCGCTTCATTCATTCGCTCGCATTGTAATCCAAAGAGTTGGCTCTTAGCCTTCTCCAATTCGCTTCTCTGCTATCCTTATTGTGGTGTGCTACAATAAACGTATATGATACTTGGAGTTCATCTTCTGATTTATAAACCGAGCTTAAGAACACGCAGCCATCGGGCACACTACATAATGTTGAGCCTAACCTCAACAGAGTTGGCCACCATACTTAATTGTGAGCCCAACGTCAACAAACTTGGCCACCATAATGTAATCCCTTTGATTCGGTTCTTGATCCTATGTTTGTCTGCTTTATAAATTACATCATTGTCAATGTAGTTGTTGATTGCCGATTGATCCTCTAAAACCTCTCTAGTGTTATTTGTATTCCTTCTATCTCCACTAATATGCGTTTGGAAAATGTTGAAATACTGGAAACTTGATACTCAAGTCAATCAGCAATCAAAAAACACATCGACATTGATCGAATTTATTAAGTAATCAGAAGAATCATAGACAAGGATAGAATCAAGAAAATAAGCAGGCAGACAATAACAAGTTCACATTCTATAACAACCAATCAAGATTGAAGTCATCAGGATAAACTACTTACCAGTTGCAGGTGGAGAATTTCGAATACGTCACTTCGACCCTGAAGTTTATGTTGATGATGTTGTTCAAAAGTACAATCAAAACATCCAACTCAAAGAATGAAATTCCACCATAATCAATCAATAGACAATCAATAGCCTTCATCACTAAAAATATTTATTTTTAATTCCAATACAATAACCTAACTAGGTCATAAGACAAGCCCTAAATTTGGAATCCTCAAGGCCAAAGTAAACGAGGTAGACCAAAGAAAACATATTACGCCAAGAATTGGAAGTAGACAAGAAAACAATGAACAATGATTGGATAGAACTGAAAAAAATGATGGCCCAACACAGAGTAAGTAAGTTGGAGAAGGCTGGTTGGCGGCTTCAATTCGAGGTAACAGGCATTAGTACAGTAAAGTACAGTACAGTAAGTACAATACCATAATAATAATAATAAAATTTAACTAACCATGTTGAAAATGTTTTTCTATCACAACATAACCCATAAATAATTGTGATATCACACGAACTGTATGACCACGTAAACCATGTTGATAACGTTCAGCCAAATTAATTAAACGTTGAGTTATACGTTGAAATTCTAGCACAGAACTATCTGTTGTTGATTGTTCAGTCATGCTGACATTAGGATTAATTTGTTTTAAATGTTTATTAGTAATTTGAAAAATTTGTTCTGATGGAAAATTGGCTAAGATTGATGTTGCTTGATCAGCATAAATTTTCGTATGATGACGTAACGATTTTTCCATTGTAGGTGGTAGTTGACCTTTTAAATGTGCTATGGTATCCTAGAATAGTGAAACAGAGAGAGAAAATTAGATTAACCTACATTAACCAGAACAAATGTTTTGATAAAAAAAACATTCATAGAGCAGTAACTCTGCCTGCAGAGCCCTTCTAGGTTTGCTGCCAGTCTCCGAACCCGCATGCATAAAAGAGAAGAGATGAGCATGGGGGGTTAGCGACCCCATTCTGTAGAAATCCAACTCGCTTAAAAAAAGCTAACCGGAAGAATAATTCTCTGGTCAGCAGACTATGCTCCATTAGGGTTACAAGTGTAACTAAGTAGTAATTATCAACAAAACACGTATATTATACTACTAAATAAAAATAAATATAATTTTTAAAAGATGGTATCATCATTGATTTAAGTAGTTTACATCTATCAACATAGGTGGGTACAGTTGTCAGTGACTTCATGGATTTGTGCCATGTACCGGTTTGGCTACCGCTAGCTTTCTTTCAGCCTACATCACAGATTTTATCTCCTTCTCCTTTCAATATCTAATTTAGTTTTGTTAGGGTTAGGGGCGGTACATTCACAAATACAAACTGTCATGCTTGAATCAGATTGAAATATATTTGTAGTTTGACAAATGAGTAAAATAATTATTTGACATGATTTAAATTTAACTCATAATATCATTGATAAAAATTATTAGACTAAATCAAAAAAAATTTGTTAATAATAATTGGATATTTTGAATAAATCGAAATATCCTGTAAACAAATTTACATAGAATAGACAGAATGCAGCTAGCAATCGAATCTTAGGAAGGTTCGTTTAGTCCTATTTGAGATTCATCAGCTGGATGTACCTACCATATCTCAAGATTGATGTTCACTGAGGGACTTGAATACATTGGAGGGAACAATGCAGTTGTTAGGAATAGGGCACTAGGTAAGGATGGCAAGTCGATTGATGAAGTAACTGAATCATTGACAACTGGACTGGGCCATGTTAGTGGGTGTTGACTATCTGGTTGGGTTCCACGAAGTTCCCCATAAAACTCATCTTTGATATTATACAAGATGCAATCAAAGGAACTGTAGGCAGAGACAACGAAGAGGTTACGGCATGTAACTTTATCTTTTCGAGTACTTAAGCTCCCGTTTAGTCGAACAGGAACATTCGCTTCTGCTGAATATTATGAGTATGGCAGTATGGTCATAGGAAGCGACGGTGGTATCTTTAGATATACGAGGGATAAGTGGTGCCGGTTCATAATACAGACAAGGTGAGGTCAAGTGAATAGATATACTTGGATGCTGTGTGCGTGTTTCGTAGAGGCGAAATTCTCAAATTCTAGCTAAAGAAACCTACTGTTTTGTCTGGCAGGAGGTTAGAATAATAGGAGCTCCAACTTGAAGTTTAGAGCATGGTTTCAGGAGGTCGGGAATAACATTTTATGAACTTGAATCATTAACATTAGTCTCATGAAGCGATAAAAGTATGCGAGAGATAGGAGATTTATTAAGACATAAAGGAGGGATTTGATCGTGAACAAATTGATCTCGGATGCGGTTAGAGATATGAGGATGAATGTCACTAACCGGTTGCTCACACCGTGGTAGAGTATTTCTTCTTGAGGGACCTGAGAACGAATCTCAGTTAGTGTTAGTCATAGTGACCTAACAACGTAAACGTAGCGCTTATGGCGAACTGTCACCGGAATTCTTTACTTCAAGTGGTGTCCGTCAGGGATGTCCACTTTCTCCATTCTTGTTTAATTTTGTCGTTGACATGCTCCTAGAAATAACCTTATCCTTGTCTGAATTTTCTGGAGTAGACCTTTTACCAGGTGGCTCGCTTATTGACTTAGAATATGCCGATGACATTGTCCTACTTGGTGAAGACGCTGACAAAATGCAGTCTTCTGACTACCCTAAGCAACAATGCAAGCATGTTCGGGATGCGGTTTTCCCCCTCGAAATGCAAAATGTTGCTTCAAGACTGGGTTGCATCGGCACCTGAACTAGTGATAGGGAGTGAAGTGGTCGAACGTGTAGACCGCTTCACTTATCTTGGGAGTCTCATCAGTGCCGATGGCCTGGTGACTGACGAAATCTCAGCATGGATACAGAAGTCTCGATTGGCTTTTGCCAACCTGCGTCACTTATGGCGTAGGCGAGATACCCGTTTACTAACTAAAGAACGAGTCTGCTGCGCAGCAGTTCACTCCGTCCTACACTATGGCTGTGAAACATGACCAGTCAGAGTGGAGAATATTCGTAGGTTACTGGTTTTCGATCATCTGTGTCTTCAAAGCATATCCTGGGATACCCGAGTGAGCAACGCTGTTATTAGGAAACGGGTGCTAGGTAAGAATGGCAGATCAATCGATGAAGTGGTGAAACTTCATCAGTTGAGGTGGTTGGGACATGTGTTACGTATGCCTAACCACCGACTGCCTCGAAGAGCTTTGTTTTGTAGTGTAGAAGTAGGTTGGAAGAAAGTTAGGACCGGCCAAACCAAAACATGGCAGAAATCCATGAAATCACTGACGAGTGGACTTAGCCATGTCGGTAATTGTCGACTACCTGGTTGGGGTCCGCGAGATGATAATAATCGATGGTTAGAGACTTTGAATGACATGGCTTAAAATCGTTCGCAATGGCTCCGGTGCATTTATTCTTTGTATTCTCTCAAATCCTAATCTTCTGGATTCTTCAACACCTCTAGTTTTGACTTTCTAAACTTTTCTCATTAAATCATACTTCTTGAATAATATCTTCTAATCCTAACCTCTCCGATTACTTCTAATACCCTTACTACCTCTTCTACTATTGGATTTGAATTGACAATTACATCGCTGTGCTGATGTGGTATGGCGACATGAACTGATGTACTTACGTACGAAGTTCTACGTTGCATGTGACTGACTGACCGTAATCAATCAGAGTAAATATATCTATCCTACATAAAATGAAGTCACAACATCTTTGACTAAAATGTTTGCTGAAACAAGTCTGCATTCTCACATCAAAACATCAGTTATCATCCATCCATATTAAAAACAAGCAAAAACCACAGACCAACAAACGACAAAACATCTCCCAAATATTGTCACATATCAATTTATTAATTATTTTTAAAAATTAACTAACTCACTTGTAATTCATGCAATGGTAAACATGGATTATACAATAATGACAAGAATTGATTTAAATTTTTAATTAATGATTTACTAAAATATGGTTCACATAAACAATAACCAAATAAAATTTGTTCAAATGATGCAAATAATTTAGCAAATTGTACATGTAATTTTCCATTGGTATTTGAACAATTTGAATTTGGCAATGTTAACATTGAATCTCCATTAGAAACAGAAATGGTATTATTATTACTATTATTATTATTGTTATATAAAGAATCTGATTGACAAGGTGATTTAGCATCAAGAGATTTCCACTCCTCATTCATAAGATGATGATGGTGATGATGATGTGGGGGGATATTGGATTTGACATGATCAATCGATTGATACAGAGTATTTGTTGTTGAATAAGGCATATTAACTTGTGGAAGAAATAATGATTTTCGAGAATATGATGATGTAGATTGATTAATATCGCTATTATACTCGGTAGGTAAAGTGAAAGGTCCACTAAAAAAAAAACGATATGTACAAATTAATTTTTGCAGAAAAATCATATACTTGTATTGAACCATTGACATCGAAACCATGAATCAATCATATGGTAGATCACCATTAGAAACCTGGAAGCACTGGACGGATGTTTTTGTGCTGGTATGGGACTTATCAGCAGTGTACATCTGCGATTCCTGCAACTGGCAGGATTCCAAACCAGTACTTTCGGTCATGAGTGCGAACGTTTAACTTCTGGACCACTGGAGCCAGTATCTAAGGGAGTTAATGCCTAATTTTCATAAACCCACGGTTGAATAAGGCAATGTATGCAATAATCGCTAATTTTTTTTATTTCAACAATCCGAACTGATGTGTAATACTGAAGTTCAGAAATCGACATCGTCAACATCGGTAGTGTTGAGCTTGATGAGTCATGTAATGTGATCATAGGCCTTGAGTTGTTTTTTACAGGATATCATTGCTGACTTCGTGTAGCAATGTTTTGATATTAACGCAATCGCTAAATCACTCACTCTGATGATCTGAAACATGACAACGGTTTTCAAAGGTTTCTTATATTTATGTAACTTTAGCTTTCCTCTAAACATTTTGTTTTGTTGACCTCTGACAATGTGAACGGTTAAATGAGGGATCAATATGAACATGATAATTTTAGAAATTGTTCAGGACATACTTAAAATCTTTTTAATCCTCAATCTAGAAAAGTTACAAATAAGCAGTCAGTCAGCTATGGGGGTTGAACTTTGTACGTACGTACATCAGTTCAACTCGTCATACTACATTAGTAGAAAGAGATCCAAAAGTCAATTCAAATTCCATAGAAGTAGAGATCATAGCAGTATTAGCGGTAATCAAAAAGATTAGGGACTGAAGATTTAATTCGACCAATACCTCATCAGAAGTTCATACACTGAGTACCTTTAAATGTCCACGGAGTATCATAAAACTGATCAGATTCCTGAAGTGTCTCCCCACTACTCTGAAACTCATAGTGAAGACCAGTTTGGAAAAAATAGATTCCGAATGGATCCCTTGTTAGAGTTAGAATTAGCTATAGTATGTCTGGCTGAGACAGAAAGAGAAATTGAGTTAGATCGGTTACGTCAAATAGGAAGAGAATACTGTAACCAAGTTGTGGATGACAAGGTTATGTCGTATGAGTCTACATCTGCCTCACGCACAGCAGATAAAGTTTAAAGCAAAATTGGTCTTGTTCTGACTATAGCTTTCCCATAGACTCTGTGCTCGGCAATATTGCGTTTACAGTTCTAGAAGTACATGTGTAGGACAAATTAAATCCTACAAAGTAAATTTAAAAAGAGAAAGATGAAGGTGATGAGGAATTTAGATTAGATCAGAAGTAGACTAATGAGAAGATCATTTGGTAACTATCAGGAAATGTACGAAGGAAGAGTAAATATCATTGGTTAAATTATCTTTAACCTTTAAACGTAGATGAATTTTATGGCTCACAAAATTAAATGGCATTATTCTAACAATTATTGAAAACAAGGAAGCATTAGAATTCTCTTTCATTCTACTATGGAACTCTTTAGCGATACGGATCCACGACCCCAAAGGAGATCGAAAGGAAGATTTTCAGGTCTCTCTGTGAATACTGGTGAAATGTAGTGACAAGCAGAAGTAGTTGCCTATTGAGGGAGCCATTTCAAGTTTACTGGTGGACCTGGATACAGATGGAAGGTTAGATATGCAGTTAGAAACTGAATCCCGTAGAACACAAACTCGCTAAAAAAAAACGCTGACCAGAAAAAATTAATGAAGAAACAGACGGTTATGCAATATCCCCGAAACCTCGGAAGTTAAAAAAACATAAACCAATGAGTATCAAGCCATATGGGATCTAAACAACGATCGATCCTTGCAAGACTAAAAAAGATTCATCGATATGCACCGCTGAGCAGTTCTGATACGTTCGTCACTTAGTATGCTTGAGGCTATTACGAGTTTACCTTAGTCGATAAACGCGAACGAGAAAATAAACCAGCGTCCAGGTAGGCTACCCTGAATCTGAGGCTGAAGTAAAAACGCTTTGTAAGCGTAGAAAGTATATTCTACAAACACCCAGCAATCACAGTGCAATCATGCATACAACTCTCGTTTATTTATACAACATAGAAACGTCCTTGAGACAGTTAAGAAAATAGCACACTAAAATACACAGCAGCCAATCATAGCCATGGATTTTCCTGGTGGGAATTGAAATCTCAAGGTCAACTGATCAACCCATGCTGGCAAACGTGAAAACCAAAATAAGGCATTATCAAGCGAATTTTGGGGATCTAGCATCCCTAACAAGTTCCAATGCAGGGATGAAACTACCGTCCAATGCTTTGTGATCTTTTCTGGACAATCCATGATGTAAAATTTAAAATTTAACAACCAATGCCAACTCTCCTTTATACACATTTTTCGCTTAGAAAAATTTTATTCTAAAACTCATTTTAGCATCATTTTCTAATGTATTTATAATAAGTTTTATTTCATTTAAGTTCACCGAGAATGTCTGATTGCATTGGTGATGATGATGATCAAATAGTTCATACACAAAAAAATTGGCATAAACATCAGACCATAATATTTTTAAACAATTTAGGACAAAATATTAACTTGAAAAATTAATGCATATTATATACTACTACTGTAGTTTTTTTTATAATTTTTTACTCATTGAAAAACACAATTTTTAATTAAAAATATTATACACTATAGATTTTGCATTTTTTTTAGTTAAAATTATTAATGATAATTACTATATACTGAAGAATACTAATGAAAAAATTTTGTCTGATTTAATACTTGGTCAGTTGTAACACAGAATTTAGTTAGTAGGAGGTGTATTGGTACATACAAAATGCGGTGTCAGTCAGTCAGTTGCAACGTAGAACTTCGTACGTAAGTACATCAGTTCATGTTGCCATACCACATCAGCACAGAGATGTAATTGTCAATTCAAATCCAATAGTAGAAGAGGTAGTAAAGGTATTAGAAGTAATCGGAGAGGTTAGGATGAGAAGATATTATTCAAGAAGTATGATTCAATGAGAAAAGTTTAGAAAGTCAAAACTAGAGGTGTTGAAGAACCCAGAAGATTAGGATTTGAGAGAACACAAAGAATAAATGCACTGCCGACACTGCAAACGATTTTGAACCATGTCGTTCAGCGTCTCTAACCATCGATTATTATCATCTCGCGGACCCCAACCAGGTAGTCGACAATTACCGACATTGCTACGTCCACTTGTCAATGACTTCATGGATTTATGCCATGTTTTGGTTTGGCCGCCCCTAACTTTCTTCCAACCTATTCCTGCACTACAAAACAAAGCTCGTCGAGGCAGTCGGTGGTCGGGCATACGCAACAACAAAATGCGATGACACCGAGTTTATCAGTCAGTAGTCAGTTACAAGGTAAAACTTTGTACGTACGTACATTAATTCCAGTTGCCATATCATATGAGCACGGAGATTGAGTTGCTAATTTAAATCCCATTGTAGTAGAGGTTATAGCAGTATTAGCAGTAATCAACATGATTAGGGAGCGAAGATTTAATTCGACAAGTAAAAACTAGTGAAATAAATTTTATAAAAAGAGAAAGATAAAGGTAGTGAGGAATTCTGAAGATTAAAATTTGAGAGAACACAGAGAACGGATGCACTTACAACCTTGTAAATGATTTTCAGCCATGTCATTAAAAGTCTCTAACTATCGGTTACTATTGTCTCTCGGAGCCCAACCAGGTAGTTTAAACCTACTAACATGGCTCAGTCCACTTGCGACAGACTTCATGAATTTATGCCATGTTTTGGTTTGGTCAACCCCAGCATTCTTCCAGCCTACCTATACATCCCAATACATTGCTCGTCGAGGCAATCGGTGGTTGGGCATACGTACAACATGTTCTAATTACCTAAACCGATGAAGTTTCAATACTTCATCTATTGATCTGCCATCCTTCCCCGGTACTCCCTTCCAAACAGTAGCACCGCTTTTATACCCTATGTAACGCTGCTTATTATTACACTATTTAGTTTTACAGAAGTTTGAAATTCATAGGCGTATGTTGGATAATCAACTAAGAATTGAGTGCGATATAGAATGAAAGGTACGTGAAACGCTTGCTATCTAAAATGCTAACTAAATCTGACACTGATATTACAATCCGAGTACTTGACCTAAGCCACGACATGTCCAAGCTTATTTTGATATTGCCCCAGGGACTATATATTAGCGTCTCACCAGAACAAGTAAAAATCTTTCAAACTCCAAACAATAGGGTTACCATGAATCTATAGTAGGGACAGAATATTAATTAAGGATAATTAAAGTACTATTAATATGCAGATCAAAATTAGTTACAGAGCGGGAACAAACACAACAGACATAAATACAACGAAATCATGGGTCGACTAATGTTAGGAACACCATTAGAAACCTAGAAGCAGGAGCAAGGCCGTTTCGTCGCAATATCGGACTCATCAGCATTTCTTTTCATCACTAATCAGTCTGATTTGATGTAGGCCGCCGTAGTAAGGATTTCTCGCATCTCACTCAAAAAAACTAAAAAAGGAGAAGTGATTTTCATAATTAATAACACGAAAGGTATTATTTATTAGCCCCAAAGCTTCTTCATCTTTTCCAAGTAATATCAATGGACAAAAGTCTGCATATGCATACATTGGTGATTGTAATTTCAATCAAATAAAAACTACTAACCTAAATATTTGTAAAGGTTTCAGCTGACTTGACTCATCCAATTCAATACGCGCTAGTTCAGTACCAGGTTCAAGAACCGCTCCAGGTATACGTTTCAAAGTGATAATTCCTGAGGTTGGAACACGTAACTCTAATATCATTTTCATGACTTCAATAAGAGCGTAGACTTCATTCGCGCAAACATGTGATCCTTCTGTGACACAATATTGAAGAAGCTTTCCTGCAGAATGGGATCTATTTTTAAAATACAAATTAAAATATTGTAGAAATAAAAATGTTACGAATATTAAAACAAAACTATAGTTTATATATAAATTAATTACGTTTGAAACAGTAAGTCATGGAGATTTTGGCGAGAAATCTACTCACGTCCATATTGTAACACATTCGAAACCTTAATCTACCCAATTCCAGTTTCGGTTATCAGTTTGTCTTGATTTCACGGTGGGGCGGAAACCTGGAAAACCACAAAAACCATCATCCAGAACAGTTAGTTATGCAAAATATTACAGATATTTTGGCCAGGCACCATCAGCAACAACCTACTGTGGGAGAGAATAAATCAGATTCCAGACGAGCAAGAAATCAGAAAGAAGCACTGGAAGTGTATAGAACACACATTACGGAGAGTATCAAACTGCGTCACAAGACAAGCCCTCACTTGGGATCCTCAACGCCAAAGGTACAGAAGGAGGCCAAGGAACACATTTCACCGAGAAATGGAGACAGATATGAGAATGAATAACATTTGGACATAACTAGAAGGGATAGCCCAGGACAACGTAGGTTGGAGAATGCTTGTCGGCGGCTTATGCTTCATTGGGGGTTACAGGCGAAAGGAAGTGAGTAAGTTTATCTCATGCTTATATTATTTCAAAGTGTTGTCAATAGCCTTCTCTATTGAATGCAAGTTTATTCTGTGTGCTTACTGAGTCTTCAGCTCAGTAATGATGTGTAGACTGATGAAAATCTTAACAAAACTGTCTTGTCGATAAGAAAAATAACTTAAGAACAACTTCTGATACAGGTACGTTTTGAAGCGGTCATTCATACTTATAGGGAGAGATCCACATCTCCAAAAACTGTCATGATGCGTATTGTCATAGATCTGTACGTGATACACGCTAACCGCTCGAAGTGGCCACTTGAGCGACAAGACAAGAGTTGAAGAGGACGTTTGTTGGGTTACCGAATGCATATAATTATATACATAAACTCGCCTTTAGAAAATGAATCTATTTCCTGGCTAATGATATGACACTTCCGATCGTTATCAGATGGCCTTCATATTAGGGCTATTTCTGATTGGCTCACTATATCAACACCTATATTTTTTGTCATTTAAAGTATTGATTTCACAGTGTTTTTTTTAAATGTAGTGATATATAAGTGAATAGTAAGGATTTTGTTGTATGTCCTAAAACCTTAATCTACCATCTATAGTGATATTTGAATACGTTTCAGTGCTTTAAAATTAATTTGTAGTTTCAACATTTTACATTAATAAAACAAGATACACAAAACTCTGCTTAGAGAACTTCTAGGGTTACTGCTAGTCCCAAGCCCAGATAAAGGAAGAGAGTTGAATATGGAGTTAGCGATCGCATCCCGTAGAAATCAAACTGTCTACAAAACGCTTACCAGCAAAATAATTCGCTGATAGGCGGCCTATGCTCCATTACAGGTAACAGGTGTCAGTAAGTAAGGTAAAATACACAAGCATTTATTGAAATCACAAAACACAAACACACCTTAATACAGTTGGATCAGTTTCTTTGCATAACATCATTGTACGATTATTGATTACTGTGCGATAACCTTGAGATTCTTCATGACAATAAGTCATATAGCTAGCAGCTTCATGACATATTAATAAACCATCACCAGGTACACGATGTACTTCTAAATCTAACACAGTATCACAACAAATCAAACTGAAATCCGATGGTCCAGTGCGTAGAACCTAAATATGTCAATAAAAATGTTAGTTAAACAAATAGAAAAAGTAATCAGTGTTAAGAAACACTAAAAATAAAGCTAAACTAATCGGTAGAATTCACAATCAATAGTAAATAAATAGACGAACGTGGCATTTGTTACGATTAATCATTGATCAATTAATTTAAATATCTTGGCTTTTACAAGAGGTAGGTTATGACGCAGACAATGTAGTAATAACTTTTCTAGTTGAGTGATACTGAGTAACGAGGATTAGAATTCTATACTAGGAGCAGTACTTACCTAATGCGATTGTGCATATGACATGTTATAAATCAATAACTGTATATATATATATATATATATCCATCTGGTATGATAATCACAGTAAATCATATTTGATTTTAGATGTTTAAATTAGAAAAGTTATCAATGCACGAAATCCATAATATCAGTAAAGATTGACGATTTACAAATTCATAAAAAGTCCCTACCAATTAGTTAAGCACATTAACAATATTTTCATTGTTGGAGTTAGTTAAATTCCGGTGAAATAATGAATCGATTATTGTTAGACCAGGAATCGATCAAAGTTAGACATTAAAACATTGTATGTCATTTCAGCGGTCTAGACGTAGAGCGTACGCGCGCGAGATCGACATTTACGGGTTTCATTTCCACCGGCGAGAGCCGTGGATGCGCACTGCTAATGACTCTCACACTAGGATGAAATGATCAGCAAGTGCTTCAAGGTTTCTAATAGCGGCCTAACATTGATTATTTCAATGAAACATCTATATCTTGATCACCAATAAAAAGCGAATTTTTTTTCGTAAACAACAGTGTAATCGTTTAATGTAATGTAAAAATAAAACTGAAGTATTCATTAATCTGGACAGATATATCTCAATTAAATATCGTATGTTTGATGCACATTTCTAGCCTATAACTTCTGCCGATTATTCTATTGCAGGACCAATATTAACAGAAATGGCTATTCTTTCCCCCTTTATCTTTTCCCCTTTTATCTTCATGATCTGTCATCTTCTACAGAAAAACAGTTTTCTTAAGTATGTGGATCATCTCAGTATATGTAGACCGATTTCCATAGCTTCATATCCGCTTGGAATGAATGAGATACTGTTGCCCATTATTAATTTTAGTCTGAAACATGAACAGAACTTAAAAACTCAGTTGGAATCCTGCAAACCTAATATTTGAAATCATCAACCGACCATTGTTAAACCACCATTAGAAACCTGGAAGCACTGGACGGCCGTTTCGTCCTGATATGGGACTCTTCAGCAGTGCGCATCCACGACTCCTGCTCCTCGCAGGATTCGAACCCTTCTTCAGTGTCTAATTATGTACACACTTCTTATTACGTAATGGTTTTAATACTTTGTAATGATTATTTCAAGTCTATTTATGCCCGTTTGACCTACTATTGACAAAAACTTTTGTTATTGTATTTTGTATTTTTCTTACTACTATCAGTACGCCTGTCTTCCTACTATCAATTTGTACTTTTGCCTATTATGCGTGTAGTGACGTAATCTATTTCATTTCATCGTGATTATTGACTCATTTTCATATAAATATTCATGTATATTAGAGTAAAAGCTGATGACGATCTAATCGAAAACAATATTGTTCGCTTATATCTGTGTTGTTCACATGTTATCTTATCAGATACTTACTATCTATCTACTCTATTCACATCATACTACTTGTCAACCTGACATCGAAATGAGAGGTAAGACAACAACATAGGAATTCAAGTACACAAGGAAATATATAACAATTCTGTGATAGCATATTTAGCGAATATACCCTATTCGAGAAGCAGATTGTAAGTTGCTAATATGTTATGAATTAACTGTTGTATAGACTTTTTATTTTAAAAAACATATCAGTCAGTCAGATATAATGTTGATATTTGTACGTACGTACATCAGTTCAGGTTACCATACCACATTACAACACTTAGAGATGGAATTGTCAATTCAAATCCCATAGTAGTACAGGTTGTGGAAGTATTAGAGGGAATCGAAGATATGATTCGAGAGAAAAATAAAGACAACGAGGAATTCTGAAGATTAGAATTCGAGAGAACACAGCGAATGGATGGATGCACTGACGCCATTACAAACGATTTTCAGCCATGTCATTCAAAGTCTCTGATTATCGATTACTATTGCCTTGTAGACCCCAACCAGTTAGTCTACACCTACTAACATGGCTCAGTTCAGTTCCGGATAGGTTATTTACTTGCTATATATTTATATATGTATGTAGTTAATTCTTTTTAACAGAAACCTATTGAATTATTCCGTGCTGATAATTCCAGGTGGTATTAAACATGTCACATGTCAGCGCGGATACAGAAAGCTAGATTGGCTTTTGCCAACCTGCGTCACTTATGGCGTAGGCGAGTTATCCGTTCACTAATGAAAAGACGAGTGTACTGCGCAGCAGTTCGCTCCGTTCTCCTATATGGCTGTGAAACGTGGCCGTTAAGAGTAGAAGATGTTCGTAGGTTACTAGTATACGATCATAGATGTTTAAGATGTTTGCAATGGAGCAAGTGCATCCATTCGTTGTGCTCTCTCAAATCCAAGTCTTCTCGATTCGTCAGCCCCTCTACCTTTGTCTTTCTAACCTTATCTCAGTGAATTATATTTTTTGAATAATATCTTAAACCCTAGTCTTCTTCATTACCATTAATACCTCTACTATCTTTATCACTATAGGATTTGATTTGATATTTGCGTTACTGTGCTCATGTGGTATGGCAACCTGAACTTATGTACATACGTACGAAGTTCTACGTTGCAACTGACTGACTGACTGACATTGAATAAGGCCCTTAAAGATAATAATAATTATAATAAAGGCATCATATTCAACTTGAATTACACTCATGAAATAAAGAACATTCTTACGAAATAGTAAAAAAATTAAAATATTGCTTACAGAAAAAAATCTAACACAAATTACAACAAACAATAAAAAAAACTAGTTACTTTAACAATAAATTTCGTAGAATCCGATACCAGAGTTACATCAACACTATTGGTAAGCGTTTTTGACGGTAGAAATTGACCTCTAAAATAAATTATGTGAAGAACTAGTAAAAATTGTCAAATATTATAAAAATTTATTTATTATTCGATTAGTTATGTTCAATCATTGTCACAATAATATGTGTGATTCAATTATAATTTCTATTTCAAAGAAATTGAACATTGAATACTTAGGCTGTGTAGAATAGGTAAATTGTTTTATTCGAACACTGGATTTATATGTATAAAACAGTCTTATATATTGACTAGTTTAATGTATATCACTCCTTTTAATGAGTGATAGAAGGAGAAAAATATCGATAAGTATAAAGAATCTCATTTGAATTTAGTTAACTTAAACTAACAACGCAATAAGCGATAGTATCAGTTTGTCTGGAAAATATAGAAAGTGAGAATAATTTTACAGTAGCTATCTCTTTGTAATCATTTATAACTGTATAACTGAATTTATGAGATGAAAACATATGCGTATTAGTTTAGGTATATAATTATAGATCGTTGGTCAGATACCATCAGCAGCAACCTACTGTGGGAGAGAACAAATCAAATTCTAGATGAGCATGAAATCATGAAGAAGCGCTGAAAGTGGATAGAACACACTGAGGAAAGCTAACTGCGTCAAAAGGAAAGGCCTCACCTGGAATTCTCAAAGTCGAAAGGAAAGAATGAGACCAAGGAACACACTACGCCAAGAAATAGAGACAAACATGAGAAGAATAAAAACAACTCGATAGAACTAGAAAGGAAGGCCCCTGGACAGATTAGGTTGGATAATGCTGAACGGTGTCCTATTACGTTCTGTTGGGGGTAACAGGCGTAATTCAGTAAAGTAATTAAGTATTATAATTCTAGGTAGGATTTCTATCGGGTGTAGACAGTTACAAACCGGAGACAATGGGCGAAGTTGCACAGCATAGAGTGAGCAAATGCTCTTTATTAGGTTCAAACACAGATTTTACTGATGAGCAATTCGGGCCACAATTGACCTTCTACAGAACTAGGATATTTCTGACAAATAGCAAATAGAGTAGATAGTGATGGGAATTCAATCACAGTACTGTCTACATTAGAACATGAGTAGATAAGTAGAGGAAGTGAGTACTGTCATCAATTGATGCGAACCTTTTAGGTCTACAGGTAACTGATGAATTGCAGTTGTAATAATTTTAATAGTGATACAATGACGACTTTACACTGAAATCATGAATAAATCATTATTAGGCCACTATGAGAAATATGAAAGCACGTGAGGGACGTTTCAGCCGGGTATCAGACTCATCAGCAGTGCGCGAGGATCGAACCAAGGGAATTCAGTCTTGCGTACGAAAGCCTAACCTCTGGACAACTAAGCCGGTGACATCCAACGGTGTTAATGTTTGACCAACTCTAATTAATCTTAAGATCAATGAAGATTGCTTCTATTTGATATTAAAATTAGAATCGTAATTATCAAGTTTATAACACGATGTCTTATATATGTATACATTTATAATTATAAATGTACAATGTGACCTTAAAAATAACTCACCTTTCTAAATGTAATTCATAATTAAGAAATAATTGTTTTAAACAATTATCAGCAATATGTAAAGCAGTGCATATCACACCAAGTAAGATATCTGGTTTTTCAACCTATTTTATATAGAATAACAAATAAATAGTATATTGATTTAGAAAACAATGTATATTTAGTACACAATAAAAACATAAAATAAAGAATTTAAATTAAAAATACTTTCATAGAGGAAAAGAAATGAAACATGAAAGTATATGCACATAGGACGTTAAAGAAAAGTAAAACTGAAGGTCCTGGGCTTGAATCTGGCAAAGTCGTACTGCTGACTGACTGTAGAGGGGTGTGACAGCAGTAAGGTGTTTCCCTTGGACAACCAGCATCTGCAGCGATGCTACCTTCTCACAAGGAAGGAAGGGTTAGAATAGGTTGGCCCTAGAAATGTCACATCTCACCCTACCTCACGGATTTCCGTCTCCGGTGGTAAGGGTGCCCACTAAGGGCCTTTAAGAACGGAGCTAATACTCAAAAAACCTTTCATAAAAAGGCCGTGCGTGACCGGCCTCAAGCAGTTGTCCCTTGGACTCTGCGGTCACGCTCCCAGGTCTCCAAGACCAACACTAATCTATCTTCCTTTTCAGGTGCCTCAAGAAACAACCTTTCACGGTGTGGGCAGCCGGGAAGTGACAACCGCCCTCATACCCGTAACAGCACGAGAGATCAATTTGGTAGCAGGAGTCTCGTGGATGCACACTCTTAATGAGGTCTTATTATACAAGGATGAACCGGCCATCCGGTGCTTAAAAAGTTTATAATGATGGTCTTCTAACAATGATCGACTGATGATTTCAATATTCAAAATAGTTAATTCATTTATCAAGAAGTGTAAATTGTACCTTAGCTACACTCTATGATGGCTACTGATGCAACTCAGCTGTCAAAACTGAAATAGAAAGAGAGTCAAGTTCATTCAAAGCTGAAACTTAAAGATAGTGAGAGAGAGAGAGATTAGAGTTCAAATAGCGTTAACCATTGATTCACTTCACGATAGTGACAAGGCTAAAGAGGAAAGCATAGAATAGAGATAGAGACAGTAACAAAACAGAGTGTTACCTGTTATCTACAACTATATAAAAGTTATGAAGTTTTGCAGGAATCAGCTATCAGTAAGTAGAGCAATACATTTAACAGTAATTTTTCATGATGTTAATGTCAAAAACGTTTTCATATAACCAAGATTACTTGGACAACTTGAAACATTTTTGCTCTATTCCGTTTGACGTACAGATTTTGTCGTAATTGTTTACAAATTTAATAATTCCAGTGTTCAATGTATGGATTGGAATGAAACGGATGTGTCCTCCCTCTAACTGATAAACACATTAGTCTCAACTACACTGTTTATAATGGAATGTTAAAATATTTGGTATAAACCAATAAATCTTAATATATCATAAAATTATACACTTACTTGATCATTTTGTGCTATTCTTGTATCTAACCATTCAGTGTCAATTTTATGATTCATAAAAGCTTCAGATTCCATTACTTTGATAAGATATTCAACTGTTGTTCGAAAATCACCACGAATAGATAATTCTTTCAATGCTAAAACCATATTCCTTATTGATAGATAGAAAGAAAGCAAAATAACCATGGAAAAGTAGAAAGTTTAACAAATCATTTGATAATGAAAAGGAAGTTGTAAATAACTCAAAAATATGTAGACAGGACAATATGTGTGCGTGGGTGTGAAAGAGGGAAACAGAGAGTCAGTCAGTCAGCTACAAGGTAGAACTTCGTATGAGCAAACATCAGTTCAAGTTGTCATATCACATTAGCAGAGAGAGACACAATTGTCAATTAAAATCCCTTAGTTGTACAGGTAGTAGTGTGGTGTGAGCTACTAAATAAGTAGTATATGACGTGTGTCAACGTAATGTCTGGCAGCAGAACATGGGGGAAGATCAAGAACGGAAGAGTTAGAAAACAATGGAATTTGTATGAAACGCATGAATAGTGACAATGGATTGATGTTTTGCAACAGGAACAGTCCAGTTCGATATGATGAACTGATATTTTGCAAATGAACGATTTACGATATGGTTTTCCGATTTTACTGAGTAACTCTGTAATTTTCGTTAAATATAATCGGGTTGCCCCACCTGTGTTCTCGTTCACTACAGTAGAAGTATTAGTGGCACAAGGGAGAAGATTAAGGTTCGCAGATATGATTTGAGAAGTATAATAGAGTGAAATGAATTTAAAATAGGAGAAAGATCATGGGGAATCCAGCAGATTAAAATGTTCCATTTGGGGTAAAAGGCGAGTAATAAGTAAGTATTAAGTAAGTACAAAGAAAGTAAAATAATGAAAACTTAACAAAATAAACAAAACATCTTTTTTTATTCTATTATAGGGATATTCACACAAAAGATATGTCATAGTGCCAACAGTTCAACAACAATTTTATTGGTGAAACACAAAAGCAGAGCAAATATTCGATATTAAAAGCATTCTCCAAATTATATTAAGGAACTAGTGAATATTGTAGTATCTTCACAGTTAAAACCACAAAATTATTTTAGCTACATCACCAATCATGATTTCAACTGTGAAAGTTACTTCATCTCCACAAGAATCTCCAATGCTAATAACAATCATTTGCTCTTGAATGGCTGGTTTCAACATGTGACTCCTGAAGTTCATCATCCCGGCACGACACACTAAGTCAATAGATGAGAACGTTATGACAGAGTTTGAGAGCGCGAAAGTCCACAACATGACATCCACTGGAATGTATTGGATCGTCAGTAAGTGTATAGCGACGCCTATAATACGTTTAAAATAAAATTGTCATATAAACTAGCTTCCTTATATCTATTTAACAGGCTCTCAATTTCCACCATTCAGGATCGGAAAGATATGGACTACCGGCTTGAACCGTGATTCATACTGAGAGCGCAAAAAAAATCGTAGACAACAGTATTGAGCACCTACAAAAGGATGCGTAGTATGTTGTGGGTGGTAGAGAGATTTCGTAATACCAGTGACGCGCGCAGCCAATGTAGTTCAGATGTTGTGTCTGAAAGTCAAAGTAGAAATGAACCTTAGACAGCCGTATGCATTAAATATAGTATGCATTCTCGATCCCGAAGGTGGAAATTGAACTTTATACTACTGAGATCCAATAATGTCATTGTCTTGCTTCAACCAACCCATTGTGTTGTGAAACTCTTCATAACTTTCTGATACTTGACATGGGTTGAACTTCAGGAGTCACATGTTGAAACCAGCCATTCAAGAGCAAATGATTGTTATTAGCATTGGAGATTCTTGTGGAGATGAAGTAACTTTCACAGTTGAAATCATGATTGGTGATGTAGCTAAAATAATTTTGTGGTTTTAACTGTGAAGATACTACAATATTCACTAGTTCCTTAATATAATTTGGAGAATGCTTTTAATATCGAATATTTGCTCTGCTTTTGTGTTTCACCAATAAAATTGTTGTTGAACTGTTGGCACTATGACATATCTTTTGTGTGAATATCCCTATAATAGAATAAAAAAAGATGTTTTGTTTATTTTGTTAAGTTTTCATTATTTTACTTTCTTTGTACTTACTTAACTACTTACTTACTTACTTACGCCTTTTACCCCAAATGGAACATTTTAATCTGCTGGATTCCCCATGATCTTTCTCCTATTTTAAATTCATTTCACTCTATTATACTTCTCAAATCATATCTGCGAACCTTAATCTTCTCCCTTGTGCCACTAATACTTCTACTGTAGTGAACGAGAACACAGGTGGGGCAACCGGATTATATTTAACGAAAATTACAGAGTTACTCAGTAAAATCGGAAAACCATATCGTAAATCGTTCATTTGCAAAATATCAGTTCATCATATCGAACTGGACTGTTCCTGTTGCAAAACATCAATCCATTGTCACTATTCATGCGTTTCATACACATTCCATTGTTTTTTAACTCTTCCTTTCTTGATCTTCCCCCATGTTCTGCTGCCAGACATTACGTTGACACTCACGTCATATACTACTTATAAGTAGCTCACACCACACTACTACCTGTACAACTAAGGGATTTTAATTGACAATTCCGTCTCTCTCTGCTAATGCGGCCCGACAACTCAAACTGATGTTTGCACATACGAAGTTCTACGTTGTAGCTAACTGACGACTGACTCTCTGTTTCCCTCTCTCACACACACGCACACACATTGTCTTGTCTACATATTTTTCAGTTATTTACAACTTCCTTTTCATTATCAAATGATTTGTTAAACTTTCTTCTTTTCCATGGTTATTTTGCTTTCTATCTATCTATCAATAAGGAATATGGTTTTAGCATTGAAAGAATTATCTATTCGTGGTGATTTTCGAACAACAGTTGAATATCTAATCAAAGTAATGGAATCTGAAGCTTTTATGAATCATAAAATTGACACAGAATGGTTAGATACACGAATAGCACAAAATGATCAAGTAAGTGTAGAATTTTATGATATATTAAGATTTATTGGTTTATATATACCAAATTGTTAAATATTTTAACCATTCCATTATAAACAGTGTAGTTGAGACTAATGTGTTTATCAGTTAGTTAGAGGACACATCCGTTTCATTCCAATTCATACATTGAACACTTGAATTATTAAATTTGTAAACAATTACGACAAAATCTGTACGTCAAACAGAATGGAACACAAATGTTTCAAGGTGTCCAAGTGATCTTGGTTATATGAAAATGCTTTTGACAACGAAACGATGAAAATTTACTGTTAAATGTATTGCTTTACTTACTGACAGCTGATTTCTACACAACTTCATAACTTTTTAAATAGTTGCAGATAACTTGTAACACTCTGTTTTGTTACTGTCTCTATCTATATTCTATATATTCCTCTTGAGCCTTGTCGCTATCGTGAAGTGAATCAATGGTTAACGCTATTTGAACTCTAATCTCTCTCTCACTATCTTTAAGTTTCAGCTTTGAATGAACTTGACTCTCTTTCTATTTCAGTTTTGACAGCTGAGTTGCATCAGTAGCCATCATAGAGTGTAGCTAAGGTGCAATGTACACTTCTTGATAAATGAATTAACTATTTTGATCATTGAAATCATCAGTCGATCATTGTTAGAAGACCATTATTATAAACTTTTTAAGCACTAGACGGCCGGTTCATCCTTGTATAATAAGACCTTCTCATTAGCCGTGTGCATCCACGAGACTCCTGCTACCAAATTGATCTCTCGTGCTGTTACGGGTATGAGGGCGGTTATCACTTCCCGGCTGCCCACACCGTGAAAGGTTGTTTCTTGAGGGACCTGAAAAAGAAGATAGATTAGTGTTGGTCTTGGAGACCTGGGAGCGTGACCGCAGAGTCCAAGGGACAACTGCTTGAGGCCGGTCACGCACGGCCTTTTTATGAAAGGTTTTTTGAGTATTAGCTCCGTTCTTGAAAGCCCTTAGTGGGCACCCTTACCACCGGAGACAGAAATCCGTGAGGTAGGGTGAGGTGTGACATTTTTAGGGCCGACCTTTTCTAACCCTTCCTTCCTTGTGAGAAGGCAGCATCGCTGCAGATGCTGGTTGTCTGAGGGAAGCAGCTTACTGCTGTCACAACCCTCTGCAGTCAGTCAGCAGTACGACTTTGCAGGATTCAAGCCCAGGACCTTCAGTTTTACTTTTCTGTAACTTCCTATGTACATATACTTTCATGTTTATCTCCTTTCCTCTATGAAAGTATTTTTAATTTGAATTCTTTATTTTATATTTTTATTGTGTACTAAATATACATTGTTTTCTAAATCAATATACTATTTATTTGTTATTCTATATAAAATAGGTTGAAAAACCAGATATCTTACTTGGTGTGATATGCACTGCTTTACATATTGCTGATAATTGTTTAAAACAATTATTTCTTAATTATGAATTACATTTAGAAAGGTGAGTTATTTTTAAGGTCACATTGTACATTTATAATTATAAATGTATACATATATAAGACATCGTGTTATAAACTTGATAATTACGATTCTAATTTTAATATCAAATAGAAGCAATCTTCATTGATCTTAAGATTAATTAGAGTTGTCAAACATTAACACCGTTGGATGTCACCGGCTTAGTTGTCCAGAGGTTAGGCTTTCGTACGCAAGACTGAATTCCCTTGGTTCGATCCTCGCGCACTGCTGATGAGTCTGATACCCGGCTGAAACGTCCCTCACGTGCTTTCATATTTCTCATAGTGGCCTAATAATGATTTATTCATGATTTCAGTGTAAAGTCGTCATTGTATCACTATTAAAATTATTACAACTGCAATTCATCAGTTACCTGTAGACCTAAAAGGTTTGCATCAATTGATGACTTGAAAGTACTCACTTCCTCTACTTATCTACTCATGTTCTAATGTAGACAGTACTGTGATTGAATTCCCATCACTATCTACTCTATTTGCTATTTGTCAGAAATATCCTAGTTCTGTAGAAGGTCAATTGTGGCCCGAATTGCTCATCAGTAAAATCTGTGTTTGAACCTAATAAAGAGCATTTGCTCACTCTAAGCTGTGCAACTTCGCCCATTGTCTCCGGTTTGTAACTGTCTACACCCGATAGAAATCCTACCTAGAATTATAATACTTAATTACTTTACTGAATTACGCCTGTTACCCCCAACAGAACGTAATAGGACACCGTTCAGCATTATCCAACCTAATCTGTCCAGGGGCCTTCCTTTCTAGTTCTATCGAGTTGTTTTTATTCTTCTCATGTTTGTCTCTATTTCTTGGCGTAGTGTGTTCCTTGGTCTCATTCTTTCCTTTCGACTTTGAGAATTCCAGGTGAGGCCTTTCCTTGTGACGCAGTTAGGTGCTTTCCTCAGTGTGTTCTATCCACTTTCAGCGCTTCTTCATGATTTCATGCTCATCTAGAATTTGATTTGTTCTCTCCCACAGTAGGTTGCTGCTGATGGTATCTGACCAACGATCTATAATTATATACCTAAACTAATACGCATATGTTTTCATCTCATAAATTCAGTTATACAGTTATAAATGATTACAAAGAGATAGCTACTGTAAAATTATTCTCACTTTCTATATTTTCCAGACAAACTGATACTATCGCTTATTGCGTTGTTAGTTTAAGTTAACTAAATTCAAATGAGATTCTTTATACTTATCGATATTTTTCTCCTTCTATCACTCATTAAAAGGAGTGATATACATTAAACTAGTCAATATATAAGACTGTTTTATACATATAAATCCAGTGTTCGAATAAAACAATTTACCTATTCTACACAGCCTAAGTATTCAATGTTCAATTTCTTTGAAATAGAAATTATAATTGAATCACACATATTATTGTGACAATGATTGAACATAACTAATCGAATAATAAATAAATTTTTATAATATTTGACAATTTTTACTAGTTCTTCACATAATTTATTTTAGAGGTCAATTTCTACCGTCAAAAACGCTTACCAATAGTGTTGATGTAACTCTGGTATCGGATTCTACGAAATTTATTGTTAAAGTAACTAGTTTTTTTTATTGTTTGTTGTAATTTGTGTTAGATTTTTTTCTGTAAGCAATATTTTAATTTTTTTACTATTTCGTAAGAATGTTCTTTATTTCATGAGTGTAATTCAAGTTGAATATGATGCCTTTATTATAATTATTATTATCTTTAAGGGCCTTATTCAATGTCAGTCAGTCCAGTCAGTTGCAACGTAGAACTTCGTACGTCTATACATAAGTTCAGGTTGCCATACCACATTAGCACACAGATGTAATTGTCATTTCAAATCTCATAGTGATAAAGATAGTAGAGGTATTAATGGTAATGAAGAAGACTAGGGTTTGAAGATATTATTCAAGAAGTTTAATTCTGTCAGATAAAGTTAGAAAGACAAAGGTAGAGGTGCTGACGAATCCAGAAGATTAGGATTTGAGAGAGCTCAAAGAGTGGATGCACCTGTGCCATTGCAAACGATTTTGAGCCATGTCGTTCAACGTCTCTAACCATTGGTGACTTTCGTCTCGCGGACCCCAACCAGGTAGTTTACATCTACCAACATGACTCAGTCCACTTGTCAGTGACTTCATGGATTTCTGCCATGTTTTGGTTTGGCCGCCCCTAGCTTTCTTCCAACCTATTCCCACACCACAAAACAGAGCTCGTCGAGGCAGTCGGTGGTTGGGCATACGCAACACATGTCCCAACCACCTCAACTGATGAAGTTTCATCACTTCATCGATTGATCTGCCATCCTTACCTAGTACTCGTTTCCTAACGACAGCATTGCTTACTCGGTTGTCCCACGATATACGAGCAATGCTTCTTAAACATCTATGATCGAATACTAGTAACCTACGAACATCTTCTACTCTTAACGGCCATGTTTCACAGCCATATAAGAGAACGGAGCGAACCGCTGCGCAGTACACTTGTCCCTTGGTTAGCGAACAGATGTCACGCCTACGCCATAAGTGACGCAGGTTGGCAAAAGCCAATCGAGCTTTCTGTATCCGCGCTGACATGTGACCTGTGACATGTTTACTACCATCTGGAATTATCAGCACGGAATAATTCAATAGGTTTCTGTTAAAAAGAATTAACTACATACATATATAAATATACAGCAAGTAAATAACCTATCAGGAACTGAACTGGGCCATGTTAGTAGGTGTAGACTACCTGGTTGGGCTCCACTAGACAATAGTAACCGTAGGTTAGAGACTTTGAATGACATGGCTGAAAATCGTTTGTAATGGCGTCAGTGCATCCATCCATTCGCAATTTTCTCTCGAATTTTAATCTTCAGAATTCCTCGTCGTCTTTATCTTTCTCTCGAATCATATCTTCGATTCCCTCTAATACTTCCACAACTTCTACTACTATGGGATTTGAATTGACAATTCCATCTCTGTGTGTTGTAATGTGGTATGGTAACCTGAACTGATGTACGTACGTACAAAGATCAACATTATATCTGACTGACTGATATGTTTTTTAAAATAACAAGTCTACACAACAGTTAATTAATAACATATTAGCAACTTACAATCTGCTCCTCGTATAGGGTATATTCGCTAAATATGCTATCACAGAACTGTTATATATTTCCTTGTGTACTTGAATTCCTATGTTGTTGTCTTACATCTTATTTCGATGTAAGATAGACAAGTAGAATGATGTGAATAGAGTAGATAGATAGTAAGTATCTGATAAGATAACATTTGAACAACACAGATATAAGCGAACAATATTGTTTTCGATTAGATCGTCATCAGGCTTTTTACTCTAATATACATGAATATTTATATGAAAATGAGTCAATAATCACGATGAAATGAAATAGATTACGTCACTACACGCATAATAGGCAAAAGTACAAATTGATAGTAGGAAGAAGAAATCGGAACGAAAAGTTAAATAATCTTTAATCATAAGTTTTTTTGTAAAAAAAAAGTTATGGGATCTCCAATAATATTAAGTTTTGGGGCAGGGTTTTGGAGGTTTACGTGGTCCGACGGTAAGGCGTTCGCCTACAATGCCGAAGGTCCCGGGTTCGAATCCTGCGAGGAGCAGGAGTCGTGGATGCGCACTGCTGATGAGTCCCATATCAGGACGAAACGGCCGTCCAGTGCTTCCAGGTTTCTAATGGTGGTTTAACAATGGTCGGTTGATGATTTCAAATATTAGGTTTGCAGGATTCCAACTGAGTTTTTAAGTTCTGTTCATGTTTCAGACTAAAATTAATAATGGGCAACAAAATCTCATTCATTCCAAGCGGATATGAAGCTATGGAAATCGGTCTACCTATACTGAGATGATCCATATACTTAAGAAAACTGTTTTTCTGTAGAAGATGACAGATTATGTACATAAAAGGAGAAAAGATAAGGGGGAAAGAATAGCCATTTCTGTCAATATTGGTCCTGCAACAGAGTAATTGGCAGACGTTATGCTCTAGAAATGTACATCAAACATACGATATTTAATTGAGATATATCTGTCCAGATTAATGAATACTTCAGTTTTATTTTTACATTACATTAAACGATTACACTGTTGTTTACGAAAAAAAAATTGGCTTTTTATTGGTGATCAAGATATAGATGTTTCATTGAAATAATCAATGTTAGACTGCTATTAGAAACCGTGAAGCACTTGCTGATCATTTCATCTTAGTGTCCGAGTCATTAGCAGTGCTCATTCGCGGCTCCCGCCGGTGGAAATGAAACCCGTAACTTTCGGTCTCGCGCGCGAACGCTCTACGTCTAGACCGCTGAAATGACATACAATGTTTTAATGTCTAACTTTGATCGATTCCTGGTCTAACAATAATCGATTCATTATTTCACCGGAATTTAACTAACTCCAACAATGAAAATATTGTTAATGTGCTCAATTCTTTACTGATATATGGATTTCGTGCATTGATAACTTTTCTAATTTAAACATCTAAAATCAAATATGATTTACTGTGATTATCATACCAGATGGATATATATATATATATATATATATATATATATATATATATATATATATATATATATATACAGTTATTGATTTATAACATGTCATATGCACAATCGCATTAGGTAAGTACTGCTCCTAGTATAGAATTCTAATCCTCGTTACTCAGTATCACTCAACTAGAAAAGTTATTACTACATTGTCTGCGTCATAACCTACCTCTTGTAAAAGCCAAGATATTTAAATTAATTGATCAATGATTAATCGTAACAAATGCCACGTTCGTCTATTTATTTACTATTGATTGTGAATTCTACCGATTAGTTTAGCTTTATTTTTAGTGTTTCTTAACACTGATTACTTTTCTATTTGTTTAACTAACATTTTTATATGACATATTTAGGTTCTACGCACTGGACCATCATTTCAGTTTGATTTGTTGTGATACTGTGTTTAGATTTAGAAGTACATCGTGTACTCTGGTGATGGTTTATTAATATGTCATGAAGCTGCTAGCTATATGACTTATTGTCATGAAGAATCTCAAGGTTATCGCACAGTAATCAATAATCGTACAATGATGTTATGCAAAGAAACTGATCCAACTGTATTAAGGTGTGGTTTGTGTTTTGTGATTTCAATAAATGCTTGTGTATTTTACCTTACTTACTGACACCTGTTACCTGTAATGGAGCATAGGCCGCCTATCAGCGAATTATTTTGCTGGTAAGCGTTTGTAGACAGTTTGATTTCTACGGGATGCGATCGCTAACTCCATATTCAACTCTCTTCCTTTATCTGGGCTTGGGACTAGCAGTAACCCTAGAAGTTCTCTAAGCAGAGTTTTGTGTATCTTGTTTTATTAATGTAAAATGTTGAAACTACAAATTAATTTTAAAGCACTGAAACGTATTCAAATATCACTATAGATGGTAGATTAAGGTTTTAGGACATACAACAAAATCCTTACTATTCACTTATATATCACTACATTTAAAAAAAACACTGTGAAATCAATACTTTAAATGACAAAAAATATAGGTGTTGATATAGTGAGCCAATCAGAAATAGCCCTAATATGAAGGCCATCTGATAACGATCGGAAGTGTCATATCATTAGCCAGGAAATAGATTCATTTTCTAAAGGCGAGTTTATGTATATAATTATATGCATTCGGTAACCCAACAAACGTCCTCTTCAACTCTTGTCTTGTCGCTCAAGTGGCCACTTCGAGCGGTTAGCGTGTATCACGTACAGATCTATGACAATACGCATCATGACAGTTTTTGGAGATGTGGATCTCTCCCTATAAGAATGAATGACGCTTCAAAACGTACCTGTATCAGAAGTTGTTCTTAAGTTATTTTTCTTATCGACAAGACAGTTTTGTTAAGATTTTCATCAGTCTACACTATCATTACTGCTGAAGACTCAGTAAGCACACAGAATAAACTTGCATTCAATAGAGAAGGCTATTGACAACACTTTGAAATAATATAAGCATGAGATAAACTTACTCACTTCCTTTCGCCTGTAACCCCCAATGAAGCATAAGCCGCCGACAAGCATTCTCCAACCTACGTTGTCCTGGGCTATCCCTTCTAGTTATGTCCAAATGTTATTCATTCTCATATCTGTCTCCATTTCTCGGTGAAATGTGTTCCTTGGCCTCCTTCTGTACCTTTGGCGTTGAGGATCCCAAGTGAGGGCTTGTCTTGTGACGCAGTTTGATACTCTCCGTAATGTGTGTTCTATACACTTCCAGTGCTTCTTTCTGATTTCTTGCTCGTCTGGAATCTGATTTATTCTCTCCCACAGTAGGTTGTTGCTGATGGTGCCTGGCCAAAATATCTGTAATATTTTGCATAACTAACTGTTCTGGATGATGGTTTTTGTGGTTTTCCAGGTTTCCGCCCCACCGTTTCGAATGTGTTACAATATGGACGTGAGTAGATTTCTCGCCAAAATCTCCATGACTTACTGTTTCAAACGTAATTAATTTATATATAAACTATAGTTTTGTTTTAATATTCGTAACATTTTTATTTCTACAATATTTTAATTTGTATTTTAAAAATAGATCCCATTCTGCAGGAAAGCTTCTTCAATATTGTGTCACAGAAGGATCACATGTTTGCGCGAATGCAAGTCTACGCCTCCTTATTGAAGTCTATGAATATGATATCTAGAGTTTACGATGTTCCAACCCTCAGGAATTATCACTTTGAACGCTTATACCTGCGAGCGCGTTCTTGAACCTACGCGCCCTACCCTGCAACTATCGCGCCCTTGTAATTGAATTTAGCGATGAGTCAAGGTCCCAGCTAGAAACACTTTTCACAAATATTTTCAGGTTAGTAGTTTTTAATTTGACTTGAATATATACCAATCACCAATGTATATGCATATGCAGACTTTTGTCCATTGATATTACTTGGAAAAGATGAAGAAGCTTTGGGGCTAATAAATAATACCTTTCGTGTTATTAATTATGAAAATCACTTCTCCTTTTTTAGTTTTTTTGAGTGAGATGCGAGAAATCCTTACCACGGCCTACATCAAATCAGACTGATTAGTGATGAAAAGAAATGCTGATGAGTCCGAGTTTGCGACGAAACTACCGTCTCCTGCTTCTAGGTTTATAATGGTGTTTCTAACATTAGTCGACCCATGATTTCGTTGTATTTCTGTCTGTTGTGTTTGTTCCCGCTCTGTAACTAATTTTGATCTGTATATTAATAGTACTTTAATTATCCTTAATTAGTATTCTGTCCCTACTATAGATTCATAGTAATTCTATTGTTGGTATTTTGAAAGATTTTTACTTGTTCTGGTGAGACTTTGATATACAGTCCCTGGGGCAATATCAAAATAAGCTTGGACATGTCGTGACTTAGGTCAAGTACTCGGAGTGTAATATCAGTGTCAGATTTAGTTAGCATTGTATGTAGCAAGCGTTTCACGTACCTTTCATTCTATATCGGACTCAATTCTTAGTTGATTATCCAATATACGCCTATGAATTTCAAACCTCTATAAAACTAAATAGTGTAATAATAAACAGCGTTACATAGCGTATAAAAGCGGTGCTACTGTTTGGTAGAGAGTACTGCTGGGTAAGAGTGGCAGATCAATAGATGAAGTATTGAAACTTCTTCGGTTGAGGTGATTAGGACATGTTGTACGTATGCTCAACCACCGATTGCCTTGACGAGCAATGTATTGTGATGTATAGGTAGGCTGGAAGAATGCTGGGGTTGACCAAACCAAAACATGGCACAAATTCATGAAGTCTGTCGCAAGTGGACTGAGCCATGTTAGTAGGTTTAAACTACCTGGTTGGGCTCCGAGAGACAATAGTAACCGATAGTTAGAGACTTCGAATGACATGGCTGAAAATCATATGCAACAGTGCAAATGGATCCATTCTTTGTCTTCTATCAAATTCTAATCTTCAGAATTCCTCATCACCTTTATCTTTCTCTTTTTATAAAATGTATTTCACTGGTTTTTACTTGTCGAATTAAATTTTCGCTCCCTAATGATGTTGATTACTGCTAATACTGCAATAACCTCTACTACAATGGGATTTAAATTAGAAACTCAATCTCTGTGCTCATATGATATGGTAACTGGAATTAATGTACGTACGTACATAGTTTAAACCTTGTAGCTGATTGACTGACTGACTGACTGACTGATAAACTCGGTGTCACCGTATTTTGTTGTTGCGTATGCCCAACCACCTACTACCTCGACGAGCTCTGTTTTGTAGTGCAGGAATAGGTTGGAAGAAAGTTAGGGGCGGCACAAACCAAAACATGGCACAAATCCATGAAGTCATTAACAAGTGGACTAAGCCACGTTGGTAATTGTCGACTACCTGGTTGAGGTCCACAAGATGATAATAATTGATGGTTAGAGACTTTGAATGACATGGCTCAGAATCGTTCGCAATGGCGCCAGTGCATTTATTCTTTGTGTTCTCTCAAATCCTAATCTTCTGGATTCTTCAACACCTCTAGTTTTGACATTCTAAACTTTTCTCATTTAATCATACTTCTTGAATAATATCTTCTCATCCTAACCTCTCCGATTACTTCTAATACCTTTACTAACTCTTCTACTATTGGATTTGAATTGACAATTGCATCTCTGTGCTGATGTGGTATGGCAACATGAACTGATGTACTTACGTACGAAGTTCTACGTTGCAACTGACTGACTGACACCGCATTTTGTATGTACCAATACACCTCCTACTAACTAAATTCTGTGTTACAACTGACCAAGTATTAAATCAGACAAAATTTTTTCATTAGTATTCTTCAGTATATAGTAATTATCATTAATAATTTTAACTAAAAAAAATGCAAAATCTATAG